AAAAGATGAGGACTTGCCAACACACGCCTGAGACACCCCTCCCTTCCTTTTGATAGTCTCCCCTACCCTACCCGTACAATCTGTAGACGCGTACGTACGTACGTACGCTCGGTCAGTCACGTGACAACCAAGCGAAAAGAGGTTGACCATATTCCATGAGTATGGGGCTCTGTCCCACGCGCGCTTCGCGCGCGCGGGAGCCCCGCTATCAAGTGGCGTGATCTGTCGTTATCGCGGGAATATTATTGGTAGCACCAAACACACCTTGACACGAACTGATCATAAACCAAAAACTTTGTCTGATCTTCTAGTTAGCTCGGCTCCATGTGAACAGAACTTTTGGAGTTTTATTGGTCTGATCTCCCTGATCATTTTCTTTTGCTTTCCAACACTTGTTTTATAGAGATGTCCCAGATTTTTCCCCATTATTAAGTTATCAATAAGAGTGAAAACTCGGATATAGAATAGCATTCGTTTGTTATTCTAAATAAACCCTCAAGTTGCTAATTGGGTAGAATTATATGAATTAAATAACCTAATAGTGTCAGTGGATGATAAAGGTGATGGTTTCTTAGCCTCCTCGGGTAAATCATGATAATTAATGACATCTTTGCACTGTGATGGCTGATTGGTCACATGACTTTGGTGCCAATCAGACCAGATCTGGCATGTATTAGATGCCAGCTACCGCTGAGCAGGGTGAATAGATGTGGCGCAGTAATCATTTTCACGATGTTCATATTATCATTATCGCGACGTAAACTTGCAAAATAATGCCTAGGCTCCCTCACAGAGTTTTCGTTCAACCTTAGGCCAGGAATTATTCTTTTTTCTTTGACATCTCATTGACCATTTCCACCAGGCCCCAGAGCCCATGCATCTTGCCACTCGCAAATGATAAGGCCTTGTATCAAGTTCTTCCTCTATTCATCCCAAACGTTGAAAGTTTTTTAAGTACAATTATCCTCTCTCAGAAACGATAATTCATTTATCTATACAAAGTAAATTCATACAATTTCCTTAATTCTAGATTTTGGTCAAGTGTTTAGTCACGTGACAGATCTAGCACACACGGCAGAATATGAACCTAAGATATATAATCACAAAAAAAAAATCGACATATTTTAGGCTACCCAGCAAAAGTCATTGCCGATTAATCATGTTTCTCGGAACACACTTTGGAGCCTAATTTCTTTCCTTCTTTTCTTTTTTTTCTTCTTCTTCTCCATTTTTTCCTGTTTTAGTTTTTTTTGCTCCAAAATGTCAAAGCTAAGGTGTTCAGCTTTCGCCTCCGTCATCCTCCCTGCTGCAGTGGAATCATGCACAAAGCGATCGCTTATTTTTTGTGAAACAATAACAATCTTTTTCCCTTTCAGTTACTCTGGCTTCAGCGTAAATTTTTTAAGGCAAAGTAAAGTAGATTGCGAGAAGAAGGTTGAGCGCCTTATACTATTTAGTTTGTTAAGTAAATACTGTCTATGACTCTCTCCTCACGTCGCTGATGGCATCTAATGACAATGCGGTGTTCTTTTTTTACTTGTTTCTGGAAAAGTGTCTGTTAAAATTTAGTTGCGAAGTACTGTACTTCTACTAAAGGGTTTGTTAGGCTCAATGCTGACTATTCCGCTTTTATAAAAAGCTCTCGGTGGACAAGAACAGTCAGTACATGACAAGGTCATGACAACTCAACCAATGTTTGCATCAAAATTATCATACGTAACACAAATATGAAAATTTTGATGGTCTCGCCGTTTTTTTATGTTAAGATAATAAAGGAAACATCTTTCCCATCATTGTGAAACTCGCCATTTCCAACTGAAAACAAAAGGAGCACTGAAAGAAGAGTGAGCTCAAAATGTTGCGCTTGTTTATTCCGTTGTTTCTTGTTCTGATCTTGCGTTCCTTCGCAAGCCAGAAAAAATCTGTAAGCAACGTTCAACGTTTGGCACTTTTTTTAGTTCGGTCCTTGAAAATAATTGATTTTGTCTGATGTAAAAAGTAAGATCAAATGAATATACACCAGGACCGTGCTACTTTAACCAAAAAAATTCAATACTAATACCTCGGGGACTTCCTCTTGTCTAGGTATCAAGTCAAAACCATTGCTGTAACTGTCGCGACGGTAAGCTAAAGACTTTGAATGAATCTTGATTCTTATCCGTTCATGTTGTTCTAGCATAATTTCTCATTTTTTCCCTAGGAAGGGACGGACGAGATGGTCAGAACGGTAAGATAAGACATCGCACGTATTAATATAACCATGTTTTCACTAACTGACACAATGGCCAACAGTTATGAATTCTATTAAGCAGTAAAAGACTTTCTGACCCGCTCAACCTTCCAATTTAGTACCTATACGTATATATCTGTTTACACCTTTTGCTCACAAATGGAATAGTAGATTACTGGCAGGAAATACTGCCATAGGAACTTAAATTAGTCTCGTTTTATATTACAACTGGGCGAACTAATCTGAGAAAATATAAGAGGTTCTGACTGTTGAAAATGGAAAAGTGAATCTGGTTAAAAATTAGATAACCTAGTCAGAGCTGGGACTTTTTAATTTAGATGGTGTAGAAAAATAAATAAAGTATTAAGCAAGAGATCAATATCACTGACGTGGCATGATTAAAATTGTTGTCTTCAGCTTTCTTTTCCGTGAGTTCTTCTCGTTCTCTTTTCTACTCATTACCATTAAATAATTTTATTTTTTCACACCCAAGGAAAGGATGGTCGTGATGGAAGAGACGGGATCAATGCAGGAAACGGAATGAAGGTAAAAATATTAAAAAGGAGTAAAGTTTTTTCTGCCATTATCAAATCGATGATAAATTATTTCTTGGAACAAAGATGACTAAGCCAGACGAGAACTTTTAAGAACACCGGACAAAAGGATAAGATTACTCAAGTTCCCTGCAATCCGAGATTTCAGCTGCCTCTAAAAACCCGCTTGATCAACTCCAGAGTCTATTTTCTGTAGTAAAAGCGAACTGACACAGTACCACCTTATTCTGTTCTAATAAGTAGTTACATAAGATAAAAAATTCCGTTTGAAATCTGACGAAATCTCAGCGGTAAAGACCAGTCTTAAGTAAAAGAATTACAAAGAAGGAGATCTGAGTCTTCAAGTCTCCCCAGCCCTAGATTGGTTTTAAGAATAGTTAAGGACTTGTTTGTTTTTCAGGGTCAAAAAGGAGAACGTGGTTCGCCAGGAAACAACCCAGGAGGTGTAATTAAGTTTAGCGATACCGCTGAGAAATGTACCGCAAACATCGCCGGCAGTGTTAGTTACAATAGTTCCCAGAAATCCTTGCAACTCTGTGATGGAAGTGTTTGGCTTCCAGTGCTGACTGTTGGAAAAGGTTACACGAAGGATAGACCCGGCCGCCATTGCTTGGATATTTTAAATTCTGGTAAGCTTAAACTGTGATAATTAAGTAGAACCCATAAGAGACTGAGGAGAATAATGATAGTTGTAGAGAATGCTGGGAAGTAGCTGTCCTGCAATGCAGGCCTATATATTGGGGGCCAGTGAAAGCTGCTTTATAAAGTTTGTAATGGCGCAGCCGCCATCTTTCTTAAATATGCTTACTAAAGTTCATCTTATCAATCATAATATATAAACAATCATGTAAAATAATATTCATTTTTCAGTATATTTATTATCAGGCCAAAGTCATGGCAGTGGGCTTTACTGGATTGATCCAAACGGTGGCTCGACAGCTGACTCATTCCAAGCCTTTTGCGACATGGAAACTGAGCGTGGAGGTTGGACCCTAGTTGCCACAAAGGTCTCCCCAGGCTTCCTCTTCATCAAAACTATTTTCTCATCAGTGGCCGCTGCAACTAAGAAAGCAGATGCCGCGAGTCACATACACCCAAGCATGGGGGACTGGAAAGAGGTTATGTTCCGCTTTGCTGACGTTGATACCATCCGAGTCATTTACAACAGAAAGGCGGGCGCACCAAACAAAGACAAGGAGGAATTCGACAAGTTCTTGATGGGGAAGTCTATGAGTTTGATAAAGAACGTGAATGGATTTTATAAGTACAGTCCAGCAGATAAGAAAAGAAATCCCAGCGTGGGTTTTGCCACCATATCCTCTTTCTACTTCTGGTCAAGCCGTGGGATCTCAGAAAATCATAGTGGCACGGATAAGTGGCTTGACATGTGGAATACTGGTGACGGTTCAAACAACTACATCTACAGCGACAACAGCAGGGCGCGGGGCACCAAATGTATCGCGGGCTACTGTTATCTGAACAAGCCAATCTGGGTGATGGTGCGTTAGCAAATCCATCAAGCCAATACACGAGCAGCTAATAACGCGAGAAAGAACTAGATACTTAGGTGTTAACAGGCGATAATAAAGTAGGTTTTAAAACAGACTGCTGGCAATATCAACGTTCTAACAATAGTGTCAAGATTAAAACGACCTGATATTAATCCAGTTAAAAAGAATTCTCGCATCTTGTACTGACTGCTCATAGAATAAAAGTAAAAAGCATTGGCGATTTGGGTGTTTTGTTTATTGGTCGTTTGTTTGTTTTTTTCTCAGAACAACCCTTTTGTTGCTTGGGTAGGGGGAAATTGAGCAAGAGTTAGATTCAGTTCCACTCTAAGCCTGGTGTATGTGTTATGAGCAAAGTTTTTCGGAATAACCGACTCAGAAATAATCAAAAAGAACTACGAATAACGATTGACTGCGTCAATTAATGACAACTGTCTTGCCTTTTTACAAACTTCTTTTTTCGGTTTTTTAAAATAATTCAACCCACGGACAGGAGAAGTATTTTTTTCTAATATTCAAGAAGAAAAAGGACTTTTGATATTATTAAGTATAACATCGCATTTTATCACCATGTGGTACATACTCTTGAGTTGTAAGGACTGGATCAGAAAGTTGGAAAAGCTTACACTGGCTCTTTTTCAAGATCACAAAATTTATGTTAGCCGTCTACAGCTATAAAAGACGCGCTTCCTTGTGAATCTCTTTATATTCCTTTAACCTAACAAGAGACGAATCATTAAAGACAAAAGTATATGAACAATCACCGAAGAGAGTAAATTTCCAATAAGAGAGATTACGTTCTTCAATGCCTTTATAAAGTCGAGGTAATATTACGTAATCTGTCGTTAAGGCGGGAATATCGTAGCACCAAACACATCTTGATACGAACTGATTATAAACCAAAACGTTATCTGATCTTCTAGTTAGGTTGGAGCCATGTGAACAGAACTTTTGGAGTTTTATTGGTGATCTGATCTCCCTGATCATTTTCTTTTACTTTCCAACACTTGTTTTATAGAGATGTCCCAGATTTTCCCGATTATTAAGTTTACAATAAGAGTGAAAACTCGGATATAGAATAGCATTCGTTTGTTACTCTAAATAAACCCTCAAGTTGCTAATTGGGTAGAACTATATGAATTAAATAACCTATTTGAGTCAGTGGATGACTAAGATGATTTTTTAAATCATGATAATTGATGACATCTTTGCACTGTGATGGCTGATTGTTCACATGACTTTGGTACCAATCAGACCAGATCTGACATGTATCAGATGCCACCTTCTGCTGAGCAGGGTAAATAGATGTGGCGCAGAAATTTTTTTCACGATGTTCATATTATTATTATTATTATCGCGACGTAAACTTGCAAAATAATGATTAGACTCTCTCACAGAGTCCTCATTCAAGCTTAGGCCAGAATTTATCTTTTTTCTTTGACAGCACAATGACCATTTCCACCAGGCCCCAGAGCCCATGCATCTTGCTACTCACAAATGATAAGGCCTTGTATCAAGTTCTTCCACTATTCATCCCAAACGTTGAAAGTTTTTAAGTACGATTATCCTCTATCAGAAACGATAATTCATTCATCTATACAAAGTAAATTCATACAATTTCCCTTAATTTTATATTTTGATCACGTGTTTAGTCACGTGACAGATTTAGCACATACGGCAGAATAAGAACCTGAGATAAATAAACACCAAGAAGTTCGACATATTTTAGGCTACCCAGCAAAAGTGATTGCCGATGAATCATATTCTCGCACCGACTTTTTGGAGCCTGATTTTTTTTTTCTTCTTATCTATTTTTTGCAGTTTTATATTTTTTCTTCCAAGATATCAAACCTAAGGCCGGTTCAGCTTTTGCCTCCGTTATCGATCCTCCCCGCTGCGGTGGGATCATGAAGAAAGCGATCGCTTATTTTATGTGAAACAACAACAGTCTTTTTCCTTTTCATTTACCCTGGCTTCAGCGATAATAGACGCGCTTACTTGTGAATCTCTTTATATTCCTTTAACCTAACAACAGACGAATCATTAATGACAAAACCATATAAACAATCACCGAAGAGGCCAAATTTCCAATAAGAGAGATTACGTTCTTCAATGCCTTTATAAAGTCGAGGTAATATTAAGTAATCTGTCGTTATCGCGGGAATATTGATAGCACTAAACACTTCTTGACACGAACTCATTACGCTCAGCTCAATGTGTCATTTAAATTAGGAAGTGATGATCTTCTCTCCTCAGCTAAATCTAGCATTGAAATATGTGTACAGTAAATCAACCATTGGATGATTCTTAATGGTCTTAAGCTAAATGAGGAAAAAACTGAGCTGCTTCTACTCAGTTCACGTTATCGGCCCAGTCCTTCATTGGAATTTGTTTGTGTCGAGGGTGAAACTATTCATCCGTCCTCTTCTGTTCGTAATCTTGGAGTGATACTGGATCCCAGTGCTGATATGGAAGACCACATTAAAAAGATTTGCAAGACATGTCATTTACATTTAACTAACATTAGTAAGATAAGAACATATTTGGATCGTGAATCTACTGAAGAAATTATTCATGCTTTTGTGACTACCAAGTTGGATTACTGTAATGCGATTCTACGTATATGGACTACCTAAAGTTCTCTTGAACCGCCTACAGCTAGTTCAGAATAGAGCAGCGCGAATCGTAACATTCACAAAGATATATGAACACATAACACCCAGCTTAATAGACTTTATCAGTAAACATTTCAAAGATTTTTTAAAGAGTAAAAGTATTCCTTTGTATCACACTGAGAATGAAGAGAAATCAACTATTGTTGAGAGATGGAATAGAACAATGAAAAATAGAATGTGGAAAATGTTTAGTGCGAATAATAATACTGTTTACTGGGACTAACTTGATAAATTAGTTGATGATTATAATAACACAAAACATTCTAGTATAAAAATGACTCCAGCTAAAGCAAATAAAAAGAAAATGAGGCAAGACTTTATGCTAATTAATGGAGATTTAATTTACTTGAAACCTGAAAAACCAAGGGTAGCTATTGGCGACAAAGTTCGTATATCAAAGTATAAAAGACAAGTATTTGATAAAGGTTATACTCCCTGAATGGACAGAAGAGATTTTTGTGGTAGATAAAGTTTTGCCTACAAAACCTGTTACCCATAAAATTGTTGATTTGACGGGGGAGACGATTGAGGGAACTTTTTTTCGAGCAAGAGTTACACTGAAAAGGCAAAACAAGAAACCTTTAGAATCGAAAAAGTTCTGAGACAAGATAACAAGAAAAAATTAGCATTGGTAAAATGGGGCGAGTATCCTGATAAATTTAATTCTTGGGTGAGTTTTAGCACTTTGGTAAATTTTTTAATACAAATTATTTGTAATAAAAATGAGTTCACCATTTAATCTTCAATATCTGATGTATGAAGGTCTTTAATTTTACTATTATCTTCTGCTTCGCTTTCATATTCAAATGGGTCAACATTTTGTTGTCCCTTAGTTCTAAAAAGAACATATAAGTTTTGCACTAATAGAGGACTGGTGATGCTGATTCATCATTTTTTGTTTTTGTTTTCCCTTTTTTGTCAGTGTATTCCGGACTTGTTTATAATAGAGAGGACTTGATAAATGACTTGCCATATCTGGACCAAATTCGTCTTCCAGATATTGCTGAGTAGCTTCAGTTAAGTCATTTAGTGCATTAAAAAACATTGATTCCTCTACAGTTGGTTGTGATTCCTTTGACCGAAGACATAAAGGTACAGTATAACCAACTAGCTGGCTAGTTTCTTCACTTAATCTTTCACTTAAACCAAAACTAAACAGAAATGGTGTCTCAATTAAAACAGGTCCTTTCTTTTTACTACCATACAATTGGTTTCTATTTTTTACTCTTTGGTATTTAAGTTTGGAGATTTTAACTTTGTACTCCTTTGGTTAGATAAATATTCGATCAATAGGCTGTTAAGGTTCTAGAACATTCCAAGTGTTTACCTTTAAAAATGCAACATGTTGAATAACCAATTTACTAATAAGCTTTGTATGCGCAAACATAAACATTAACAGTGTGCTTTTTGAGAGTTAGACATATTGTCTTCAAACTTCTCGGAAGATACTTATCTTTTAAATGAACATTTCGACCTTTTTAGTAATTAACTAAGGAAGGATAAGTTTTGTGGGTCGTTTTTGTTGACAGATACATCCTATGCATTATTATGTATGTAAACCTATTATCAATGACCATCAAACAAATAAATAGCGAGCTGCTAAGGAATAGGTTCGATTTTCGGTTTTGTTTGTTGTTAGGGTAACCTGGAATGTGTTCTTTTGTTTTACATGTGATAAATCATTGTTTGTAAACCGCAATCACATGCTGTATTTTTCCAGATTATCAAAATCTAATAATAGTCAGTTTTGCTGGAAAAACTCCCCTTTTCTAGAACATTCTCTAAATCATTGAATATTCAACAAAGCAAAACAAAACGGCAGGTGTTTGAAATGTAATGTACATGATTTTATATTTTAAGTAGTTTATAATAATATGATTTCCCCCTCAATTTTTTATACTATTTTCCGATTATCCCGATTTTTAGTCAGATTTATGATTATTTTACTTTAATAATGGGACTCATCATTCAGTACTGGTTGAAACCGTTTGAAAACAGTGACTGCTAAAATTAAGATTCGTTGATCAGTACTAATTACATGAAAGAGATTAAACAGGTAAAATTGTCATGACAGCTCACGGAAAAATCACGGGGATAATCGGAAAATAACAAAAAAAAGTTGAGGGGGAAAACATATTATTATTATAACTATACTCCTTTCATTTACCCTGGCTTAAGCGTATATTTTTCAAGGCAAATTAGAGTAGATTGCGAGAAGAAGGTTGAGCGCCTTATACTATTTAGTTTGTTAAGTAAACACTGTAAATTTTCCAACTCGCTCCTCACGTCGCTGATTGCATCGAATAACAATTTCATTCAGTAATTTACTTTTTAAAGAGAATTTTAGTGAGCGCCAGCATTGCCTAGGAAACTGTTTCCTTGGTTCCAGAAACGCTGGAAATGGCGTTTCTGAGTATTCTATTTTAAAAATTTCCTGGGGAAGCATGCCCCCAGACCCCCCTAGGTGCTTGCGCCTTCGGCGCTCGCGATACGGCGCCAAGAAAAAATTCACGTCCGGTGCTTTCAGAAGTATGTCCGCTACTTTACAAAACAGTTGAAAACCCTGTTTGGTAAGATAAATATCCGATCAATAGGCTTTTAAGGTTCTAGAACTTTATAAGTGTTTACCTTTAAAAATACAACATGTTGAATAACCAATTTACTAATAAGCTTTGTATGCACAAACATAAATATTAACAGTGTGGTTTTTGAGAGTTAGACATATTGTCTCCAAACTTCTCGGAAGATACTTATCTTTTAAATGAATATTTCGACCTTTTTAGTAATTAACTAAGGAAGCATAAGTTTTGTGGCTCGTTTTTGTTGAAAGATACATCCTATGCATTATTATATATGTAAACCTATTATCAATGACCATCAAACAAATAACTAGCGAGCTGCTAAGGAACAGGTTTCGGTTTTGTTTGTTGTTAGGGTAACCTGGAATGTATTCTTTTGTTTTACATGTGAGATAAATCATTGTTTGTAAACCGCAATCACATGCTGTATTTTTCCAGATTATCAAAATCTAATAATAGTCAGTTTTGCTGGAAAAACTCCCCTTTTCTAGAACATTCTCTAAATCATTAAATATTCAACATAGTCAAAACAAAACGGCAGGTGTTTGAAATGTAATGTACGTGATTTTATATTTTAAGTAGTTTATAATAATATGATTTCTCCCTCAATTTTTTACATACTATTTTCCGATTATCCCGATTTTTATATATTAGTCAGATTTATAATTATTTTACTTTAATAATGGGACTCATCATTCAGTACTGGTTGAAACCGTTTGAAAACAGCGACTGCTAAAATTAAGATTCGTTGATCAGTACTAATTACATGAAAGAGATTAAACAGGTAAAATTGTCATGACAGCTCACGGAAAATGACAGGGATAATCGGAAAATAATAAAAAAAAGTTGAGGGGGAAAACATATTATTATTATAACTAAACTCCTTTCATTTACCCTGGCTTAAGCGTATATTTTTCGAGGCAAATTAGAGTAGATTGCGAGAAGAAGGTTGAGCGCCTTATACTATTTAGTTTGTTAAGTAAACACTGTAAATTTTCCAACTCGCTCCTCACGTCGCTGATTGCATCGAATAACAATGTGCAGTGTTAACTATTTTTATTTTCTTTTGGAAAAGTCTGTTAAAATTAAATCTCTAAGTACAGTACTTCTAGTAAAGGAATGTTACCCTCCATGCTGACTATTCAACTTTTATAAAAACGGCTCTTGGTGGACAAGGACAGTACATGATAGGGGCATGACAGCTAAACCAATGTTTGTATCAAAACTATCATACGTAATAAAATATTAAAATTTTGATAGTCTCGCCGTTTTTTCATGTTAAGAAAATAAAGGAAACATCTTTCCCACCATTGTGAAACTCGCCATTTCCAACTGAAAACAAAAGGAGCATTGAAAGAAGAGTGAGCTCAAAATGTTACGCTTGTTTATTCCCTTGTTTCTTGTTCTGATCTTGCGTTCCTTCGCAAGCCAGGAAAACTCTGTAGGCAATGTGAGTTTGGTGTTTTTTTAGTTTGTTCCTTGAAAGAATTAATTTTGTCTGATATAAAAGTAAGATCAAAAGAATATATACCATGACTGTGCTACTTTAACTAATAGAATTCAATACTAATACCTCGCGGATTTCCTCTTGTTTAGCTAGCAAATCAAACCCATTACTGCAACTGTCTCGACGGTAAGCTAAAGACTATGAATAAATCCTGATTCTTATGTGTTTATGTCCTGGTTTATGTTGTTTGTAGTTTAATTTCTCATTTGTTCCCTAGGAAGGGACGGACGAGATGGTCTCAACGGTAAGAAAAGACATCGCACAGTAATATAACCATGCATGTTTTCATTAACGGACACAATGCCAAGCAGTTACGAATTCTAATAAGTAGTAAAATACTTTCTGAACCGATCAGCCTTCCAATTTAGTATCTATACGTATATATCTGTCACACCTTATGCCCATAAATGGAATAGTAGATTGCTAGCAGGAAATACTGCCATAGGAACTTAAATTAGCCATATAGTTAGGTCCCATTAAACAACTGGGCGAATTCATGTGAAAAAAAATTGAGACTGAGTTCTGACTCTTGAAAATGGAAAAGTGAACCTTGTTAAAAATAAGATCACGTAGTCAGAGCTGGGACTTTTTAATTTTGATTATGTAGAAAAGTAAATGAAGTATTAAGCAAGAGATAAATATCACTTACGTGGCATTCAAAATTGTTGTCTTCCGCTTTCTTTTGCGTGAGTTCTTCTCATCCTCTTTTTTAATCATCACCATTAAATAATTCTATGTTTTTACACCCAAGGAAAGAATGGTCGTGATGAAAGAGACGGGATCAACGGAAACGACCTCCTAAAGGTAAAAATATTATAAAGGAAAAAAGTTTTTTCTGCTATTATCAAATAGATTATTTCTCGGATCAAAGATGAATAAGACAGACGAGGAGTTTTAAGAACACTGGACAAGAGGCTAAGATTATTCAAGTTCCCTGCTATGCGCGATTTCAGCTGCTTAAGAAACATTCTCTAAAAAACCCGTTTGCTTAACTCCAGAGTCGATTTTCTGTGATACAAGGGAGTGNCCCATAAATGGAATAGTAGATTGCTAGCAGGAAATACTGCCATAGGAACTTAAATTAGCCATATAGTTAGGTCCCATTAAACAACTGGGCGAATTCATGTGAAAAAAAATTGAGACTGAGTTCTGACTGTTGAAAATGGAAAAGTGAACCTTGTTAAAAATAAGATCACGTAGTCAGAGCTGGGACTTTTTAATTTTGATTATGTAGAAAAGTAAATGAAGTATTAAGCAAGAGATAAATATCACTTACGTGGCATTCAAAATTGTTGTCTTCCGCTTTCTTTTGCGTGAGTTCTTCTCATCCTCTTTTTTAATCATCACCATTAAATAATTCTATGTTTTTACACCCAAGGAAAGAATGGTCGTGATGAAAGAGACGGGATCAACGGAAACGACCTCCTAAAGGTAAAAATATTATAAAGGAAAAAAGTTTTTTCTGCTATTATCAAATAGATTATTTCTCGGATCAAAGATGAATAAGACAGACGAGGAGTTTTAAGAACACTGGACAAGAGGCTAAGATTATTCAAGTTCCCTGCTATGCGCGATTTCAGCTGCTTAAGAAACATTCTCTAAAAAACCCGTTTGCTTAACTCCAGAGTCGATTTTCTGTGATACAAGGGAGTGACACAGTGCCACCTTAGTCTGTTCTAAAAATTAGTTACATAAGATAAAACTGAAATTCCGTTTAAAATCCGACGAAATGTCAGCAGTAAAGGTCAGTCTTAAGTAAAAGGAATATAGAGAAGGAGATCTGAGTCTTAAGGTTTCCTCAAGCGTGGAAGGGTTTTAAGAATAGTTAAGGACTTGTTTGTTTTTCAGGGTCAAAAAGGAGAACGTGGCTCACCAGGCAACAACGCAAGAGGGGTAGTTAAGATTAGCGATACCGCTGAGAAATGTACCGCAAGCATCGCCGGCAGTGTTAGTTACAATACTTCTCAGAAATCCTTGCAACTCTGTGATGGAAGCCATTGGCCGCCAGTGCTCACTGTTGGAAAAGGTTACACGAAGGATAGACCCGGTCGTGATTGTTTGGATATTTTAAATTCTCGTGAGCTTGAATTGTGATAAATAAAAAGAACCCATAAGAGACTGAGGAAAGTAATAATGGTTGTAGAGAACGCTGGGAAGTAGCTGGCCTGCAATACAGGGGTACAATTATTGGGGGCGAGTGAAAGCTGCCATATAAAAGCTTGTAATGCCGTGGCCGCCGTCTTTGATTCTATTACAGAGGAAGATTGTGGAGAGTAGAAATAAAAACCTTTAGGGCAGACGTAAGGGTGAAAGAAAAAGGTGGGGAAGGGGAGGGGAAGAAAAGCATGGACTAGGGTATTTGGAAGGAAACTATCATCCAAAGACGTATTTCTTAAATAAGCCTGCTAGATTTCATCTTATTAATTATAACTATATAAAGAATCATGTAAAATAATATTCATTTTACAATTTATTTACGATCAGGCCAAAGTCATGGCAGCGGCTTTTACTGGATTGATCCAAACGGTGGCTCGACAAAAGACTCGTTCCAAGCCTTTTGCGACATGGAAACTGAACGTGGAGGTTGGACCCTAGTTGCCACAAAGGTCTCCCCAGGCTTCCGCTTCATCAAAACTGTTTTCTCGGCAGTGGCCACTGCAACTAAGAACGCAGATGCCGCGAGTCACATACACCCAAGTATGGAGAACTGGAAAGAGGTTATGTTCCGCTTTGCTGACGTTGATACCATCCGAGTCATTTACAACAGAAAAGCGGGCGCGCCAAACAAAGACAAGGAGGAATTCGACAAGTTCTTGATGGGGAAGTCTGTTACTTTGGTAAAGAAAGTGACTGGATTTTACAAGTACAGTCCAGCAGATAACGAAAGAAATCCTAGCGTGGGTTTTGCTGCCATATCCTATTTCCACTTCTGGTCAAACACTGGGATCTCAGAACATCACGGTGGCACGGATAAGTGGCTTGACATGTGGAATACTGGAGAGGACTCAAACAACTACATCTACAGCGATGACAGCAGGGCGCGGGGCACCAAATGTATCGCCGGCTACTGTTATCTGAACAAGCCAATCTGGGTGATGGTGATGGTTTGAAATTCGAAGTAATCGTCGAGGATCCGTTGTGGTGGGGCTAACATTGGTAGCAAACTCGTCTTGACACAAAATGCTCATTGTCCAACAACCTTATCTGATCGTCTATATAGGAGTTGTCTCCATGGCAGTAAACAAAACCTTTGAAAAAGTGGGAGTTTTATAAGTCCAATTCCCTTGATCATAACTCCATTGATATGATAACTAGCACTTCTTTACTTGTTTAAAAGTTGGGCCAGGTTAACATGCTCAGAATGGCTTTTTTGACAATAATGAGTTTTCCAATAAGAATGAACGCTTGGAGAAAGCGGCATGAGTTCTTAATTAAGGGGAATGGAAAAATAAATGCTTCTTAGTAAAGTTTAAATTGTTTACCCTTGATGGCATGGAGGCGTTTCATGAAGTTCAAACTAATGACACCTCTTGGCTCCTCTTCAATAACAGCTTTGCAAGTCGCTGATTAAACTATAGTATTTTAAATAACGCAATTCAGTGAAAGCATGAGGGTTAGCTTTCAGAGTTACACAGTAAGTAATCAGATAGGGGTCAGTGGATGGCTAGGATGATGATTTCTTTGTCCGCTCGGATAAATCAGGATTATTTCGAACATCTTTGTACTGTGAAGGCGGACGGTTTTCTTGAGCTTATTGTCAATCTGACAAGATATTACACGCTAGGTAACTGCAGTGCTGAGTAGAGCGTAGTAACCAGTTGGCTCAGTGGGATTGTTCCACTGGAATGTTTTCCACGACAGTTCATAGAAATTGATCTGATATAATCGTTATCCCAACTTAAACTTGTAAAATTTAGGTCTATACAAACTTACTCGCTTAAGGTTTCGTAAATTATGTTGTTTTGATCACGTGATAAGTCACGTGACAGACATTACACGCACAGAAAAAAATGACCCTGTTTTTTTACATATTCACAGAAAATTTCTCCTTTCGAGGCACTTTTATTCTCTTAAGCAACTCAGCAAAAAATATTGCAGACAATCTCATTTCTTTCTGAATACATTTTTGAGCTAGCCGTCATTTTTTTCATATTTTTTCTTCCAAAAAATGCCACGACTGCAAAGAAAAGATTACCGATAATGATCGCAATATAATGTCGTATAGGGAAGGTAGTCGCTTATAAGATATGGTGATTAGCAGATAGATAGGAAGAGTTCAAAGCAAATTAAACACAAGTTGGGAAAGACTGATGCAAAATAAAATACAAATCTTTTTCCTACTCTTTCGTCCTCACATCAGCGTATTTTTAGCTTTTCGCTGGTTTCCCTTGCGCTGTGTAGTGTTTAGTGAGATTTTTACGAGTACTTGTACCACAAACATTCGCGTTATACGCCCAAGGTGTACACAACTTCGTGAGGTTTTTAGGAGGGCTTATAAATGGGGGAACTTATATTCGGAAGGGCTTATAGACAGAATGAAAAAAGCATTTCAAAACAAACTACATAGCAGTGCTGATCAAAATCAGCCCAGGCTATTTGAATTTGCTCGCTTTTGTAAGCTTCAAAACGTCGTAAAATAAATTTCATTTCAATACAAGCAATAAAAGGGCTTATATCCTGGGGCTTGTAACCGGATGTATTTTCTTGTCTACAGGTAGATTGGCCTATAACCAAGGGCAGGGGGGGGGAGGTGGGGAGGGCTGGGGGCTTCTAAGCATATTCTTACGGTATTTCCAACTACTCTTCTTTTGATGCTGATCAAGGAAAGCTCAGTGTTCTTCTTTAACTGCGCCTTATAAAAGTCTCCGTAAAAATTGAATTGTGTATAACAGTACTTTAAGGGTTAAGGGTTTGCTACACTTTTTATTCCTCATTTTATATTGCTGATTTGTATTCCGGTATGATCAAAGGTTTTCGGTCTGCAGGGGCAGTCAAGTATGACAGTGAATTAAATCTGCATTGAAAATAGCATACGTAATGTGAAAATTAAAATTTCGATGGTCTCGCCGCTTTTTCTTGTTTAGAAAAAAAAACAACACATTTTCCCATCCATTTTAAACTCGCCATTTTCTACTGAAAACCAAAGGAGAGTGAACTAAAAATGCTTCGCTTGGTTATTCCGTTGTTTCTTGTTCTCATCTTGCGTTCCTTCGCAAGCCAGAAAAAATCTTCAAGCAATGCAAGTTTGGCTTTTTACTTTTATTCCTTTATGCATGAATTAATCTGGTATAATTTAAAAAGGAAGAAAGAAGATACACTATGACTATGCCACTTCAATCACTAAAATTCACTGACTCACTGACTAATACCCCACGGTTTTCTTCTTCAGGGAACAGAGAAAAACCACTGTTGTAACTCGTGTCGCGACGGTAAGCTGAAGACATTAAGTGAATCCTGATTTTTTTTTCTGTACATGTTATTCTGATATTTTTCATTTTTTGCTAGGAAGGGACGGAAGAGATGGTCAGAACGGTAAGATAACACATCGCACATTTCAATATAACTATGTTTTCATTAACTGACACAATGTTGACGATTCACGACCCAGACTCACACCTTCTGCCCATCATCAGAATAGTAGATTGCTAGCAGGAAATACTGCTATAGCAACTTAAATTAGCCACATAGTTATTGTTCCATATTACAACTGGGCGAGTTCATCTGAAAAAAATATGAGAAGTTCTAACTGTCGAAAGTCCAAAAGCGAACCTTGTTGAAAATAAGATAACGTAGAGCGAGATGGTGTAGAACAATAAAGGAAGTATTAAACAGGAGATCAATATCACTGACGTGGCATTCAAAATTGTTGTCTTCCGCTTTCTTTGCGTGCGTTTTCTCTTCCTCTTTATCCTCTTTTTTACTCATCAGGCTTAAATTATTTTATTTTTTCACACCCAAGGAAAGGATGGCCGTGATGGAAGAGACGGGATCAACAGAAACGGAATGAAGGTAAAAATATTAAAAAGGAATAAAGTTTTTTCTGCCATGTCAAATCGATGGTAAATTATTTCTTGGATCAAAGATGAATAAGCCAGAACACGGGACTAAAGGCTAAGATTATTCAAGTTCTCTGTAATCCGAGATGTGAGCTGCCTAAGAAACATTCTCTAAAAAACCCCGCTTGTTTAACTCCAGAGTCTATTATCTGTAGTAAAAGGGAGGGACACAGTACCACCTTACAAAAAATGACCTTAGTCTGCTCTAATAATTAGTTACATAAGAAGAAGAATCCCGTTTAAAATCTGACGAAATCTCAGCGGTAAGGGCCAGTCGTAAGTAAAAGGATTACAGAGTAGGAGATCTGAGCCTTCAAGTTTCCTCAACCCTAGATTGGTTTTAAGAATAGTTAAGGACTTGTTTGTTTTTCAGGGTCAAAAAGGAGAACGTTGCTCACCAGGCAACAACGCAGGAGGTGTAATTAAGTTAAGCGATACCGCTGAGAAATGTACCTCAAGCATCGCCGGCACTGTTAGCTACAGTACTTCCCAGAAATCCTTGCAACTCTGTGATGGAAGCCATTGGCTGCCAGTGTTGGCTGTTAGAAAAGGTTACACAGCGGATAGACCAGGCCGCCATTGTTTGGAGATCTTAAATTCTGGTAAGCTTAAACTGTGATAAATAAGTAGAACCCATAAGAGACTGAGGAGAGTAATAATATTTGTAGAGAATGCTGGGAAGTAGCCGGCCAGCAATGCGGGCGTACATATTGGGGGAGAGTGAAAGTCTCTTTTTAAAAGATGTAATGTCGCGGCCGCCATCTTTGATCTTATTATAGAGGACGATTGCGGAGAGTAGCAAGAAAAACCCTTGTGGTAGACGTAAGGGTGAAAGAAAAAGAAAGCATGGACCTGTGTGTCGGGGAAAGACTGTCGTCCAAAGGCTTTTTTCGTAAATAAGCCTACCAAAGTTCATCTTATTAATTATAATTATATAAACAATAAGTAAAATAATATTTATTGTTCAATTTATTTATGATCAGGCCAAAGTCATGGCAGCGGCCTTTACTGGATTGATCCAAACGGTGGCTCGACAAAAGACTCGTTCCAAGCCTTTTGCGACATGGAAACTGAGCTTGGAGGTTGGACCCTGGTTGCCACCAAAGCATCCCCAGGCTTCCTCTTCATCAAAACTGTTTTCTCAGCAGTGGCTGCTGCAACTAAGAACAGAGATGCCGCGAGTCACATACATCCAAGCATGGGGAACTGGAAAGAGGTTATGTTCCGCTTTGCTGACAATGATACCATCCGACTTGTTTACAACAGAAAAGCGGGCGCACCAAACAAAGACAAGGAGGAATTCGACAAGTTCTTGATGGGAAAGTATATTAATGTGGGGAAAAGGGTGAATGGATTTTATAAGTACAGTCCAGCAGAAAACAAAAGAAATCCCAGCGTGGGGTTTGCCACCATATCCCCCATATCCTATTTGTACTTCCAGGTACACGCTGGGATCTCAGAAGCTCAAAGTGGCACGGATAAATGGCTTGACATGTGGAATACTAATGATAGCTCAAACAACTACATCTACAGCGATGACAGCAGGGCGCGGGGCACCAAATGTATCGCGGGCTACTGTTATCTGAACAAGCCAATCTGGGTGATGGTGCGCTAGTAAAACCAACCAAGCCAATACACGAGCAGCTGAGTAGGCGAGAAAGAATTAGATACTTAGATGTTAAAAGGGGATAATAAAGTAGGTTTGAAAAAACACTGCGGCAGTGTCAATCATTCTAGCGAAGTTCTCAAGATTACAATGACCAGAGATTAGTCCAGTTAAAGGGAATTCTCGCATTCTGTACTGACGGCTCATAAAATAAAACAGTTAAAAGTATTGGCGATTTGGGTGTGTGCATTTCCTTTTTTGCTCATTTTTCGTTCTGTTTGTTTGTTTGTTTTATTGGGGGGAACAAACCTTTTCCCCCTTGGGTAAACTAGATGAAGTAAGCAAGGACCTAGATTCAGCCTTGGCGATTTGGTTGTGTTGTTCGTTCTTTTCTGAGTATTTCACAACAAACCTTTTGCGGTATGGAGAGGGAGTAAAATAAGCATGGACAAGATTTGTTTAACTTAACCCATCCGCTATGCTATAGCCAGTTTCACAAAAAAATCTCAGAAATACAGAACTGAGATTAAGGTTCCTACAATTTTCGGTACAAAGGACAAAGGTGCTTTTTCTCGCAAAAGAAAGAAGCCATTTTTCATATTTCTTTCAAGTTTTCCAAATAACTCAAGAAGCAGAAGTATTTTTCTCTAATATTCAAGACGAAAAACCAGTTTTTCAAACCACCGGACATTATAGCACCCTGTGGTTACTACCCAGGGTGAAGGCGCGCTTGCTTGTGGTCTCTAAGTTTTCTCCAACCAAACAACGTATGGATCGTTAATAAAGTTGGTAGATGCAGGGTCACCAAAGAGGTTTAACTGAATTTCTAATAAGGGGATTGCGTTCTTCAATATCTTTTAAGATCAAAATTATCGTCGAATGATCCATTTTTATTTCACGGATAATATTGGTAGAACCGAACAGATGTTGCTCACGAAATGCTTTACAACCAAAAACCGTATTTGATCATTCTGTGAGAATGCCTCCACGTTTCCTACTTTGGAAAACAGGATTTTCATTTTCTGCAATCCCCTTGATAAATGTCTTGCCCTTTTCAAGAAATTCGTGAAAACGCAAGAAATAAACCTTTAATTAGTAGGCCTTAATTTCAACTATTTCTACTCTTGCTTTGTTAAGCTGGGCCGGGTTAGCATGCTTGGTTTGACTTTTTCGGCCAAGGATGAGTTTTCCAATGAGAGAGATAACTAGCAGAGATTGTCCCGTTCTTAAATAGGAAATGGATATCAGATTTTTAATAGCTGGCGTTGTTAAACCTTCTAGTCATGAAGGCATTTTAAGAGGTTCTAAACGTTAGTCTGTTAACAGACTCGTATCATTTGATCATTCATACAGTATGGAAACAATTCGCAACTTTATCGACAAGAGAAGACAACTGGAGCCGAAATGCGTCCCGCAATTGTTTCTGGGATCGTTAGTTGGGACTCGCCGATCAGCTATTGGCCAATGTTTCCCCTGGCGCTAGTAACAGTCCCAGGAGTCTTTGCGAAAGTTAACCCGACCCAGATTCCTTTTCGTTTTTAAAGTGGGGAATTAGACGAAGTCTCGCAAGGAGCAAATTAAATAATGAAATTCAATGGAAGTATAAGGGTTAGCTTTCAGATTTACACAGTAAATAGCCAGATAGGGATTCATAGATGGCTAAGATGATGGTTTCTTAGCCTCCTTGGGCAAATCATGATAATTGAGGACATCTTTATACTGTGATGGCTGACGGTTTGCTTGGGCTTGATGCCAATCAGACCAGATATCAGATGCCAGCTCCGCCATGCGTTTTTTGCGCCTAAGTTCCTTGTACTTCATCTCCACCTTATCAGCAATTAAAGCTGCAAGGAAACAACAGATTTTATTTACTTTTTCCTTTTAATACCATGCCGGGAGAGAATACACTCTGTCAATAACCCTTTTGCATTAGTTGATCATGTACTCACACAAATCCATCTAATTTTCGGCTGCCGTTGCAATCACCACTTTTGAGATACCGTAAAATTCCCAAAATAAGCCCCTCCATGTATAAGTCCCTCCAAATATAAGCCCCCCAAACCGGTAACGCAAAAACCCTCCGTTAAATTGCCCCTCCAAATATAAGCCCCCCCGGGGCTTGTACTTGGAAAATTGCCCTCAAATACAAAGTAAAACAAAGCAAAAATGGTAAATTTACTTTTAACTATAAGGCTAGCCCAATCGATTTTGAAACGCAAATTTCCCTCCGTAGATAAGCCTCTACGAATATAAGCCCCTCCAAAAATAAGCCCCTCAAAAAGGGCCTTTGAAAAATATAAGCCCCGGGGCTTATTTTCGGAATTTTACGGTATGCGACTAAAAATTCACAGGTTACTTAATTTTAATATACATTTTCAGTTCCTGCTAACAAAATTTTCCAAAAGCACAGTATTTTCGAGTTTACAGACAGTTGATCACGTGACCAACTATTGCCAAAGGCCTATCAAAAGACTGAAAAGTTAATGCTTCCAACGGGTTATACTCAACTCCAAAGATCCTCAGCATTTTAGAGCCAACTCTCTCTAAGATGGACACCACTGGGACCGTCTCTACTTTATGAGAGATGTCCGCTCCGTCTTACAGAGACAAGGAAAATGGAAGAACAACGCCGGGGACCCTAGAGGTTTATTTTCGAGAAGTGTCCCCTTTCTTCAAAGTCAACGAAAATGATTAAAGATCAGCAGTTACTAACTCTTGTTGTCCGATTTAGGCAAGTTTCCGCCTTGGAGAGAATGGAAGAAAATGACTGAAGAATGGCAGGGACCAACTCTAGGTGTCCGTCTTATAGAGAGTAAATGAAAATGACTAAAGAACGGCAGGGGCCAACACTTAGTGTCCGATTTAGTGAGATGTCCGCCTCATAGAGAGTCATAGAAAATGTCTGACGACAGGCAGGGACCAAAGCTGGCTGTCCGTTTTAGGGAACTGTCCGAAAGAAGAGATTAATTTTGTGTTTTAACACTTTTTGACTGGAACTTCTTTTGCCCCATCAGAAGTTAAACCAAACCTTGATCCACACATGGCATCGACTGAAAGATCAGGAATGAGCCTGGGTTACAATGACGGAAGGCGAGTAGCCTCATCACTGATAAACATGTATTAGTACTGGTTATAAGATGTGAAAACTAAACTGGGACAGCTTACCTTCTTTACAGTGGGCGACAGTCAAGGTTACACGGCCTAAAATTGAAAATTGGGCAACTTGAGATAAAGTAGAGCAACACCACATCAGCATTTTCTGAACTATTAATTCTTTCGTTCAACGACAATATCGTGTACAACACCGAGATTTGCTTCGATTACTTAGTTCTGTTCGGTGCCCGTAGAAAGAATCTGACATTTAGTCATTCCCTTTCCCGGTTCTTCTCAGAAGCAGATTTGGATGTGCTGGTGACCTACAAGTGTAGGTTAGGCAAGAAGCACAGAGGAGCAAGGAATTCTTTTTACTTCCCGGCCTTCAGGTCAACTTAGTTACAGTATTAAATGGGGACAAAAAGTTCTATTTCGATGTGTCCAACGATCAATAAATGATTAGTATTCATGAGAATCTCGATCTGTTACAATATTAATAACATCATCCTGATAATTCTTTACTATAGGTAAAGAAAAATATGTTGTGCGCTTAGATGTACATGTACATGTAGCCAATCACAAATCAATCAAAAAATGTAATACTTAGCAAACCAATGGAAGCGGTCTTCAAATGGAGAGAAGAGAGACCAATTGTCTGTACATGTTCAAAGTGACCAAAACTATACTGTGAATTTTTTAACCGAATAATTGTAAGCCAACAGAGTTTCCTAGGCCCCAGATGATGTTTAATTTTCAATGACTCACCAGAGACTGATTTTAACAGATTAACTGCTCGCTGATGATCAAGCCCTTCCATACTCTAAGGGAAACAAAATATGCTGTGCATGAATAAACCTTCTACGGATAAAAGCTGCTTTTAGAAGCCATTTTGAAGCCATTTTGATCTTCATTGGAGAGTGGGTCAGTGTTGTGTTGATTTTTTACCATAGGGCTCTTTTGGGTATCCTATGTAGAAGGTACATTGAAGTAATATGGGCGCAAGGAAGAATGGGACATGCAACGGGGACATGCGAGGGAAGAGTCTCTGTCGCGCTCCTCGGTCATTTTTGCCACCCATTAGGGTTCTATCTAGGATTTACCGTTTACTCCCAAGTGGCCGAAGGCCCAAGCTTCCTAGAGGGGTCCGGTGACATGGCCCCCTGGAAATTTTGTGAAATGAATACGCACTGAGATGCAATCTGCTGCATTTTGAGACACAATTTTGAGAAATGTTGCAGTTTGGCACTGAACTCATCGCGTCTGGATGATTTTTCTGATAATTATAGTTACTTATATTCTGTAATGTTAACAATATTTTTTGGGGGGAAGCTGGGCAGTTTGGGGGGAGGGGGCAAAGCACAACCTGACAATGGCCAGTATCATTGTACATGGCCCACTCGTCTGCAAAAAGCAATAAGATTTACCCTTCAAAAATTCCCTTATGGTACTTGCTTGCCAAATGAATTCGAATTGCTACAATCAAACCATCAGATCTTTGTTGGGACACAGTGAGAGTTAGCCTGCGTAGAAAGCGTTTTCTTTCTTTCATGAAAGTTGGAAGTAGAGAAAAAAGAGCGAAAACTCTAACTTACTGTAAAGGCTTAATGACAGTTGACTTCCATATTATTTTAAATAACTACAGAGAGGTTTATCAAAGTTTCCAAAAAGCATGCAAGGAACCAGAATATTGCAATATGGGCATAATATTGAGATCTGAAATAAAAACTAGTAGATCCCTCCCATCACAATTTTTCATACAAATTATCACAATTTAGCTAAGCTTACCCTGTCATTCACAGCAAGAATCCTGTCACCAACAGACAATCCCCCATGCCTGCAAAATCAAACAAAAATTAGCTCTACATTTCTTGTGGTACTAAAGGAAAACAAGTTTCATAATCAAGATATGTTTTTGGTGATTACACAGTAGTCTTCCTCATGTTATCCTGAACATTATAAAGAGATATTACATCTTTTTGTTTTTTTTTCTCCTTTTTCACTTAACTTGACAAGTGTCAGTACCGGTATTAATTTTTTTTCTACATTGTTCTTATTCTTTTGTTTTTTTCTAAATTTAACTCCTTCAGATTAGTTAGATTGATCGATTGTTCAATTTTTGAATCATCTTGTACTTTACTCTATTAGCTTTCTTACCGCCTCTATATTTTTTGTGTTTTTTTCATGTCACCTTCCAGAAAATGTGATGTCATTGTTGGAACTGCTCAGCTAGTTTAGTTTTTGCTCTTCTGAGTAGTTTTGCAATGATTTAGTTAATATGTTCTGTTCATGTAAACCTTTTTTAATAAATTAATAATTAGACTACAAGCATTCTCTCTTTTTACTTAATCCATTGGGCCTAATTTCTCACATCTTGATGCTTACATGCACGCGCATTGTCCTCACTAAATTTGCAGAAAAAGGGAGACTACTCGCAGTCTGATAATTAATGGTTGGTATGTTGGTCACCAAAGGGGCAAAAACGATTACGAAAAGACAAGGTGAAATCTTGTACTTACATGTCTGCCACACCACCAGGTACAATGTGTGATATAAAGATGGGTGTGGTGTAATGGAACACAAGCCATTGTTCAGTTCTCTTCTTCCGTTTCTCACCACCCTTGATGTGAAAACCAAAGCTTTGTTCTTGTCCCTTGAAACCAAAATTATAAGAAATACTTTAGATTAGCAAGTCCTTTGAAAGTCAAAGCTGAATAGACAACAGATATGATGAACCTAACCCCTAAACAATCTTACCTTGTCGAGTTCCACTATTCTCTGTTCAGAGGCTATCAAACCAAGGTCAACATCTGTCTCAACTGTAAATTCATCTTTATCATTCATTGCTAAGTGAAAAGTATTGAATTCCTCACCATAATGTGCTATGAGGGCCTTCTGGCATGCCTGAAAGTGAAGGAAACACAGGAATTTAGGAGTGACCCAAACATTTCAAGGGAAAAAAAACTTCACCTTAATGTTTAGCCAAACATGACAAGACATCAAAATGAAATAATTCATCCTATTAAAACCACTTCTTTATGGAGAAAGAGCAGCTAATGTAAAGGGTTGTCTAATTTATTTATTTATTTTATTTATTTAGTCACTCACAAAACCTTATACAACATGAACAAAAGTTGTTAATTTAAGTATAAAATTAATGTGACAAGGAAGCCTAAGGCATCTACGGAAAGTATAAGTAGATTGAAGTACTATAAATGTGTATTCACTTTCTTGTTGAACATGTCAAAGGAGAGAAATCAAGCTGACTAATGTTGACAAATTGCCACTTCTGTTCTTTTATTTCATTCACATGCCTGCAAAATTATGTCATACCTTTTTCTCTGCCATTGTTAAACTGTAAGAGACCTCTAAAAGTGAAACATTAATGCATGTTAAATTTAAAAACTTCACTTTCATATGGAATATGAGAATAATAATTTAGTTGTCTACAAGTGCAAAGCCAAGTGTACCAGGAGCTACTGTGTTCAAAAAACAAATATACAAATGAATTCTGCTTACCAGTAACTCTCAAAGCTAACTACATATAAATGACTGTTTCAGCTCCTCTGACAACCTTACACTTCTATCAAAGTCATTTAAAATTTCTTTCTTTCCTTTTTTTCTCTTATCTGTTATTTTATTCCTACGTTACTATATACAGTGTAAATAATTATATACAAGTGTGAATAAACTGGACTGAACTGAACCGAAACCAACAGAGAGGAAAACAAAGCATTGCAAATAAAATTTCTGTGAATTAGAATTAAAGAAAAGCCTTGACCTAAAAGGGTATGTAACAGAGCCTGGCCAAAAGGTATACACTATAGCTTTGTCTACAAGCAGGCCCTTAATCCTGTACAAAGAGATTCTATAAGAGAGATTTATCAATAGAAGTCACATAGACTAGAAAATGCTGTAATCAAAATGCTATTGCACTTCAACTAGAATTACCGGTAATGAACAATGAACAACCAAGTGGGGAAATACCTTGGGCAAGGACCTCATTTTCTTGGCCGCGTACAACACTGACACAATAGCTGAATGGATTATCTAAGTGAAGATGTGATTTACTCTTTTTTGAGTAATCAAGCCTGAAAAAGAGAATAATAATTATGATGGACACTTCTCTAAGACACACCTCTGCAGGACCCAGCAGTGGTATTCATCAAATTATTCTTTCCTAGAGACAGTTGCAACTACTGATTCTCTCAAAATATTATATTATGAAATAATTTAACCCCCTTTATTCCTTAATATATTGGCCAAAGACAAATTCAAAAAACAATTCAAATTCTTATGTATTTAGATTTAGATTTTAAAATCCTAAGAAATAAAAAAAATACTATGCAAAAGTTCTGAATGGTTTCATCTTAATGGTAACTTTACTAACACCAAAGAATCTTGCCCACAGATTTAATAGTTAGAAATAGTGTAGAAATAATCTTGCCATCACTTGGACTTGGCATGAAAGGGTTAAACAAAAATTGATGAATTTAACTGAATTTTCTTTACACCTTGATTTCCTTCACAAAATATTATTTGACTTACACAAAGCATAAATTATTGTCAATGACTAACCTTGTTTTAAGAGGGAAGTGACCCACTTTTTCTGCTATTGACTGAAGGATAAACTTTGGGTGTTGCAACTTCACTACCTCTTCAATCTCATTTCTTGTAAGCTCAGGTATAAGATGTGACTTGACAAATGCATCTGCCTTCTCGGGACTCTGATAACAAAACATAGGTTGGGTATGATATGAAAAATTACGCAGATTAAGGACAGTGTTAACCACCAGCACTGCCGGCAAAGGCAGATAACGCCCTCATAATTTATATCAAATGCAAGCCAAATTCAAATAATGTTGTTTACAGTTCATTTAAAATTTTTCTAATGGTGGTTTGCTGATCATTATTCTTCAATCTGAACATAATGAGTAGTCAAAATACACATAGGAATCACTGTTTAAAATTGCACTTCATAAATGAGCAGCACTGACCTCACGAGTATAAACTGCCCCTACAAGAGCAAGAACAGCTTGACGCAGCATTAGATCCTGGGGATGTCTCTGAAACAATATTGTGAGAAGAATTACCTACAGCATGGACTAGATTACACAAAGACTCATAAAATAATCTTCAGCCATCTCTTCACCCCGTCCCTCCGAGAGGTCACCAAGCCTGGGTGCCCATTGGGAGGGTGGGGTGAATAGATGGCTGAAACTTCAGACTTCATAAATTTCTGTTACAAGATTAAAACGGAGTAATGCAGCATGACAAAATAAAGCCTGGTCCTCATATGCCGTCCAAGTACCTATGACGTACCCGCCAGTACTGTCTGTGATACTATTCCAACATATGAGTAAATAACGCTGCCAGCTCAAGAAAGATTGTAGGTCTTTACTGTTGGCATGCCTGCAAAGTCAAACTTGTGTCAACTTCACAGGCATGCCGGCAGTAAAGACTGACATGGTTTCTGTTGCTGGCGACTTCTGTTCTCATAATGGAAAGGTATCGCAGGCAGTACTGGCAGCTATGTTGGAGTTATGTTGCAGGTAGCTTGGCTAAGAATTTTAAGACCACAGAATTAAGAATAAACATGTTGCATATTTTATTACAAAAAATATTAACAATGTAATAGTAGTTACTATCACAACAAATTGTAGTTGAAAGTCAAAACAAACTTACTGAGTAAAGGGTTATTGCTTTTATATTCCATTCAAGGGCTTTAGAGAGAACATGATCTTCTAATAACCCTGTCTGCACATCCCTGAAACAATAATTTAAATATAGTTCTATTGTAAAAGAAAAACATTAGATCAGATTTGATGAATGATACTCTTTGTTTCTCAAGTGAAATACAGAGAGTTTTAGGTGTACCTTAGTATTAGTTAAATAATGACCATAATGTTTTTAACACAATAAGACTCCAAAAATAAGGATCCTAAAAGTAACAAAGTATTCTGAATATAAACTATTCAGAGACAATAATACTCACAATAATTATTAAAAAAAATAAATTTAATTTTTATGGTTCTTGCATTTGCCATAAAATATTGAAAACACACTTAATGAATACTGGGAAATTATTTTAAAAAGCTACAATGTACTCCAAAATACTAAAAACATAACTGAATACCGTGCTTCACAATCCCTCAAGGCACCTACCAAATTTCTCTTGCTGAAAGTTCAGGAAAATTGTGGTAGAGGTGCTCTGTAACACACTTTCTCATAACTTGTGCACCTAGGAAAACATCATGAAGATGCTGTCACTAAAATTTCAAGTTTCTAGGTATATGCAATGTTACTAGCAAGGAAGTTCTTTTGATTCTATTTTTTTTTTGTTATGAAAGTAACATGGAGTCACAATAGTTGTCAGAGGCCAGGGAATCCATATTATGATAAAAAAAGGTTAGGTATTTTTGGCTACCCAAAACCTGTCACTATGCTTGGCTTGACAACAACACAAAACAGTACAGAAAGAAAGTATTTTTTGTTAATGTCCTATTTTGCACTACTGCCAAAGTAATCACTGTTCAAAGCCATTTTGAGAAAGGTTGTCAGAAAAAGTCCACACAATAATCCAGAAAGGTATTCTGCAGGGTACTTTTGAGTTCACTGTTCTTCAAAGTTATTTGGAAGAATGTCACAAGAGGCCATGGACAGTTACAGCTACAGTGTCAGGAACAGGGTATTGATCATATCCCATATAACCTTTCGGGATTCTCGCGTACACATTTTTCCTGACAAGCTTCTCAAAATAGCTGTAAACATGTAAGGCAGTATTTTTACATCACATTGAAAGTATAATGGATATAATTTAAGGTAAAATTAATGCTGGTTTGATAAGCTAATGATTTAGCTGTAACAGCAGCTCACTAACATTAATAACACATTTATGTTTTATAGCATCTTACCAAAGCAAATGAAAACCAAAGAAAAAATTATCTTGGCTTTATTTCCATGGTGAGAACCCCCATGCTGCATGACCACACCCAATGTTCCCACAGCTAATAAAACAACTTGATTACTGAAAAACATTTCAAGTCTTACCTAAAAATGCCAGCCTCTCATTACTCTCATGAGGTCCAGACAGCTTGTGGACATTTGCCAGAAGGTATGACTCATGAGTAAAAGGAGCTAGCAGATGATTTATGTCTTGGATATTTACATTTAGCTGAGTACAGAATTTAACAACATCTTTCCTGAACCCTACAATGAAATAGGAAAAGGAAACAAAGTTCTGTTAGGCTCTGTTACATCAATTTTCTTCTCAGTCTTAAAAAGAGGGGCTTATTAAGGTGTGTTATTACTCTGAAATTATAAGAAGAAAAACATGGGATATTCATTTCATTAGCCTACTACAGACTGGTCAAGTCTCACAACCTATCTCACACTCTTATGAGTATTTTACATTCTTCAGCCTATCACGACTTGCTGCTGCCACTAGATGTTCAGACTCCATGTTAGAATAAACCTTAATCTCTCATCTCAAGATCCCCCCCTGCAAATTTCTGCATGTCAGCAGTGACAAAGATTGATGGTGATGTTTACTGCTCCGGCTTTAACATGATACATGTACATTCAATATGACAACTGTTGTTCCACTAGGAACTTTGGGACATCTCACAAGTTCTTTTCCCACTTCTCACTACTTTTTCCAGTTCTACATGTACAATATAGGTAAGGCCTGGTTCAGACATTAAACTTTCATGAGCCGAACCTAACACATTGAATTAACTACATTGAAAGTTCAACATCTGAATCAATTAGGAATGCCTGTTTTAATTTGGACCAGCTCAGCTGTTTTTCCCACCTAGCCACACCAAAAATTTTGATTTTGGGTAGACTTTGAAACATGTTTGATTCAGACGTCAAACTTTTCATGTACTGAACCTAATGCATAAATAGTTATAACGTCTTTTGTACGCAGTTTGACTAAACTGAGTAATTTCCTGCTTTAAATTAGTTCAGCTGTAATTAAGATCGGCTTCTGAATCAATTCATCCAGTCTAAATAATTTGGGTTGGCCTTAATTCGAATTACATTTGCTTGGTAGGTTTGGCTCCTGAAAAGTTCTGAGTCTGACGCAGGACTAAGGAATCTTAAGATTTTTGCCTCTTGGAGGTTGGCAAGTCTGCTACTATTCCAATTCCAGAATACAACTTTACATGTAAGCTTAATGTATTCCAAACTTTCTTCTCCGTGGAGCAGAATGTTTGGGAAAAAAAGAAAGCAGAGTAATGACATCATTTTCCTTGTATCATGACCAGACCAAGATAACAAAGAAAATGGAAGGTGCCATCCATGACAATAAAATAATACCATTATAAGACGAAAACAAGGCACACCACAAAAAAGGGTACCATTGGAGCAGAAAAGAAGTTCTGGCATAATTACTCCCTTACTCAAGAAGGGTGAAAAGGTCATTGATTTGTATCACTCAACAAAATCTGTAATGCAAACCATTTCCCAGCCTACATTAAAAATTAATATATAATAGCTTTAATTATTGTCCAAAATACCTTCCACACAAGAATTTCCCTTCACTAGAAGTTGACACAAAACAATATTCACTCTCTGGTACCCTGGGCTTACAGTCACTCCATAGTTTTCATTTGCTACATGTACCTTAAACAAAGTAACTGAGGGCAATCACAACTTTACACTTTTTCCCATAAAAATTACATACCTGGATTATCCAAAATAGCTGAATTAAGATTCTACAAGAATGAAAAAATAATATTGTTGTGATTGTAGCAAAGAAAACTTAAATTGTGTAAGTGTTGTAGGTAAAATCCATTATCAGGTTAACCAGTCCAATATTCAGTCTAATGTGATTTAGGATTTCTTTGTTTCTTGGCCCTGATAATTTACAGAAGACAAAGGAAAGAACCTTGGAGGATTTGTGCTGTTCCTAATAGGGCAGTCTTTTGAATCTGAGCCACATGAAGATTCACCCCTATGCTTTCAAGATGGCCGACTAATCCTTTTAGGATTGTCCCAAGTGCCCCGACAACAACAGGCACAACTCTTGTATTGATGAATCAAGGAAGATTTTCGTTGCGCATGCGATGCATATTACTTGGATTCAGTTTTGAACCCAGGCTTAATAGCTGCACATTTGAGACAGAGGGCTCAGGTATAAGTTTAACAAGAATGATTATCTTGCTCAATATTGACTTGTTGTGCGTGTGTGTGTGTGCATGCGTGCGTGTTTGTGTTTTAATGAATAACAAAACTACAAAATAATAAAGTCAATCTTGTTAAAGGCCATGATTAGTTTTACTATAATGCACCCTTCTCCATTCTAATTTTCTTCTTTTATAATTATTATTATGTACACGTAGTTTAAGCAACTTTGTACCAATTGATATTGTACAACTATTGTATTATTGTACAACTAATGTATTTTAGGATGGAGTAAAAATAAAATACAAAATAACAAGAGAAAACAAGTTTGACTAGCCCAGAAATTTGGGCTACGATCACTTCAAAGGTTTGACACAATTCAAGTGGAGCCTCCTTTTCACCTCCTTGATCAAGAAGACAAAAGGAGGCTCTGCTCCCAGGGTGATCTCAAGGTGACCTGACCTTAAACCCCAGAGGGGAGTGGTACTCCCTATGATGGCCTATATGGGGAGGTTCCACCTGAAAGGTGTATCTTCTGCAAGCTTCAGTTATATGAGAGGGTAGGGATTTCACTGGTTGAAATATACAAAAGGGTTGGGAAATCTGTCATTTGGATCTGTGACAGGGACCTCAAGGGCTAACAGATGAATTTTATGGCTTTATAAAGTTGAGAAAACGTTGTATTTTTGTGATTGATTCCTATTTAACAGACACTGCATTTTATACAGTTAAAAGGGATGCAAAAATGTAAACAAGGTATGTGAGAGGCCCGGATCATTTGTCCATAGAAGGTATTCGAAAGGGGTACCTTTTTCATGATAAATGGTATATTAAAGGGTAAGGGGTGGGACATAAACATTTGTTGAGTCCCCCCCCCCGGACCCTAAACCGGCAAGCCACAGAGCCACTAGTACGATAAGAGAGAGGTGCAAAGTCAAATACCAAATAATAATTCTAAAAAAAATTGCCCTTCATTAAGTAACTATTCCTACCACTAAAACTACATGTACGTACCGGATATTGATTTTCCTTCGTTGAGAACCGCGCCATTTGTGTTTTACTGAGCGCCAAAATCTTCTCTCTTTGAGTTTGATTGCTGCGAGGGCGTTCATTTCCGCATACAGCGCAAGCTGAAATTGGCCGTGAAGTACATACAACCAATTCACTAGAAAGTTTACTTAGAAGAGATGTCCTCAAAATAGGGATAATAGTTCTTGTTTGTAGCACTGTGCGGCTCATTTTAAAAAAATATCCTTCTTCCTTGTTGAACTTAGATGTTTTGCTGATGTTATGTAAGCTTGTTACTCTCACGACTGCTTCAATGTAACCAAGGAAAAAGTTTCCTTTAGACACCACTCCGATAAAAAACAAGTGCTTATAACTGTATACAACCACTGAAAACTCAAAAAATTTGTGAAAATCAGAAAGAACTTGGTAAAAAGTAAGGTCTAGTTACATAAACCTAGACACTAGCTGCCGCCATCTTGAAAATTTGCCAAACAACGGGTACACGTGACTCGAGGGTTAGCGTCTAGTCCCCTTTCAACTGCTGAAGATGCGCGGGATAAACGCGGGTGCACAGCAAGAAAAGAAAAACAAGATGCGAGGACGATGGGGCCAGCAAACGAACGAAAAGAGAATGTTCTTCTGTTTGTTCCCAACTTAATAGGTAAGACATTTTCTTCCTTCTCACTGTTTCTTTTACAGACAAATGTATTTTCATATAACGTGTGTTGATTTATATCTAGACAGAAGCGCGGTTAGCTCTCGTCGAAAACCTTCGATATGTACGGTTTTCACTCGTTTTCGGCTCCTTTCAGTGGACCTTTTAATATAGGTTTTGTTTTCTCAGTACAGGTTATGTCATACTAATCTAGAGAACTGTTTATTTTCGCTCCGTGCACGTCCTTATATGCAAGACTGTACACATCATTTTTGAAAAGACAGGGAGGAAATTCCCTTAAAACCTGCCACTGAAACTACATATACCTGCAAGCTCATAATTCTAAAAATACCCAGACCAAGTTGAAATCTTTTTTGCTTGTTGTTTTGAGACAAGCCTTTTTATGTCACCCTGATTCATTTCCCATGTTCGGCAGTACGTACCCACTTAGGCCTAAGGAATGCCAGCCCCTCCCCCACCCCCCTCACTATAGTTGCATAGCCATTGCATAAGGTCATTACATAAGGTCTTATTTTTAAGTGTTTGCCTTGTACTACCAATAGTGTGTTACCTCAAATAAGTGCCCAAACAAATAGTTAAAATTTTGACCAAAATTAACAGTACTATTTACTGCTCATAAGGTGGCTCCTCATTGGTTGCAGAAAACAATAACACAACATTGTTTATCGTTATTTCCATGGTTTTATGGTAAGGGTAGCAAACCAGTTGGCTTTTAGGGTTAGGATAGCTGCTCCATCTAAAATTAGGAGCACTTATGCAAAGGAGTGGGGCTTTCATCAAGGTTTTTGTCAGCAAACCTAAAATTCAAAAGTACATGAATATCAGAGAAAAGTGTAGGCACGCGTACACAGAGGTTGGGGTTGTCACTAAGAATTTAAGTTACCGGGTAAGTACAACAAGTAGGCTGGGAATTAAACAGCTAGGGGTTTCTTTTGGTCCTATTTTTCTTCTATTTTCCTATGAAAGTAGCTGGGGGCTACGTTCATGGTAGCCGGGGGAAATCCCTGGCCCCACCTCTTAATGTTACTCCTGAGAGGTACAGATAACTGGAATTGACTAAACTGTTCTTCTACGTCATGTAAATTGATGCTGGTGTAATCAAAGCTGAAAAAATGATAAACATGACAAAGGAAAGAAAACTTTTTTGTGAAATGTTTACCATCTAAGGAATTGAAGGAAGGGCAGTGGTGCTCATTCAAGAGGGGCTTTTATTTGCTGTTATAGGGCACAGCAAAAATATCACTTTGCGTACATGTAATGTTAATTTGTTATTAATAATAGGCGATGTGGCTCCTGGATTTGAACCAAGGATCATGTACAAAATTGTATCCAAAAACTGCTCTAAAATCTTCACCAAAGTTTAAATTCATTGTGATTACCTTTAAAACATTTGCAACCTAATTTAAATATTTGTATTCGTTGACTAGAGTACATTTATTATCATTAATAATGGTTAAATTTTTTCCATAGGCTATGTTCGTCTGATCCTTTTAGTAGCTTCTTGGATATTTTTCTCCAATCCAGTTCTGTTTCTGTCCTTCTACACAGCTTCAGTTTTATTAGATGGTAAGTGTTTCTTTAGAGGACAATGTTATGTTTAGTTATTTGTTATGATTTACGGCAAAATAACAAGGGAATTCTTCTGAGCACCCCAAAGCATTTCACAAAATTTATCATGGGGGGATCAATCCTTCAAGGCAGCAGCGCCACGGCTTTGGAACAGTCTTCCCGTAAGCATTAGATCTGCTTGCACCAAAAATGATTTTAAACAGAAACTTAAGACATTTTTATTCAGCAAGGCATTTTGTTAGTACTATAAAATAATTGTTTTAATTTATATTTAGATTTTTATATAGTTTTTCTGCAGTTTACTTTTCTTATAACCAATTGTAAAATTAATAGTGTAGTTTTCATCTTTGATTCCAAAGTGACTGTAAATATTAAATATTATTATTATTAGGGACTTGTCAGAAATTAGCAGGGGGGGAGGGGGGTGGAAACAGAGGGAGGGTCACAACTTTTTGAGACTGCAGAAAAGGGAGGGGTCATGAAAAAATGGGCTGTTAAAAGGGGGAGGGTCATGCAAATATGTGTCCGTGATCATGTAGAGGTTCACCCACAGAAGAAAAAAGCAGTTCTGTATTTTGTAAAAAAAACCTGGGAGAAATAGGAGAGTCGAGTGATCAGCTGTCAGAGTCAGAGTCAGTCTCTCAATGCTGTCATCTAATGTGTATGTACATGGCATTACAAAGAACATATTAGAAATATATCTTGAGCTTTCATAATACTGACTCACCCTAGTGTATTGCAACAACTAGATTTTATCATTTATACAAGAGGGGGAGGGTCATGATATTTTAGGCCAAGGTCAAGGGGAGGGTTAGCAAATTTCACTCTCATTGCAGGGATGGGTCACCTCATTTTCGAACCCAAAATCAAAATTCCCACCCCCTCCCCCCCTGGTAATTTCTGTCAAGTCCCTTTTTTATTATTTGTGGATGGCAGTGGAGCAACCTATATGGACATTAATTGTCTGTCATTCTAAATTTTGCAAGCAATAAGCTGTGCAGAGCTTGATTAGTGCTGGGGATCATGTATTAAATGACATCAAAACAAACAGTCATTTTATTAGCATACAATCTTGGACAAAAAGCATTAAGAACTTAGCTTTTTCATACCCTCAGGATGCCTATCCCTCAGATTTGATTATTAAATACTATGACCCCTACCCCACTCTGCTCAATTTTGTTCAGTCAGAAGCAGAAAGGATCCAGCCGTATTTACCGGTAAACTTTGTTTATTCAGAGGGAAAGGCCGGGGAAATATCTCGAAGCTAGAGGTGGTCACATCCATTTTCCTTAGTATTAATTTTATTAGCCAAGACTGTAACCTGTATTTGCACTCAGTTTCCCATCTCTTCAAATTATTAAGGGGCTGAGGAATCACAGAAAAATTTAAGACTTCTTTCTTTGTAAGTTATCATGATCACTGCTTTGCTCCCTATGGCAGGCTATGATTTGTCTTTCAGTACAGCCTCGATTTTGAGCAAGATAAACTTGTACAGTATTACTGTGTACATATACTTATAAAATATTTAAGATAGTATGTGCATTCTGATTGGTTAAGAACCTATGGTTTATTGTGCCTGTAAACTCATAGAAAACTTAAAGTTATTTTATAAAAGCAACAGACCACACTTTCTATGGGTTTACCACCATGATAACCCACTTGGGATGTTGGAAGAACACTCAGAACGTTTGTCAATCAAACGCCTTTGGCTCGTGATTTACAAGCTTTTCTCGTGTTCTCCCAACATCCCGCTTGGGTTATCATGCCGGTAAACCCATAGAAAGCGTGGTCTATTGCTTAAATATATACATGGGCAAACTGATTTCACCAGGAACTAACCAATCCATGGAACATGTTTTGTTTTCTTCAGGTATTGATGGAATTGTAGCTCGTCAGTTGAATCAGACGTCAGCATTTGGTGCTTGGGTATGAAACTCTTGAGTATTACAGAAAGTATATTCACAAATAAATATGGCCAAAATTATTTTGGCGGTATATACAGTTGAACCTCCATTTAACAAACCTCTATACAACAAAGTCCTGGGTAAAAGGAACAACTTTCCTTACTCCAGAAATAGTAAAATATATGAAAAAGAAACTCGATATACAACCAAACCTCAATATAGTGGACAAATTTACAAATTTTGCCAGTCTCTTAGCCCGTCATTATTTTGAAGTTCCACTGTATATGTTTATATGCCTTTGTTTATTTTCTGTTCTGGGTATACAGTTAATGAAAACAGAGCAGTAGGGTTCTCCTCTTTATCTTTTCCCTTCTACAGTGGAACCTCAATTTAAAAACCTCTATGCAACCTCTATATAAATCCTTGGTATAGCAAACATTATTTGTCATTCAAAATATTTCTCTGTTTCTGTTTGGTTCAAATCCCTTGGAAAATTCTTTATAACCAACTTGTGGTGACCCCATTTGTAAGAGGTATGCAATAGCTTCTATTAGTATTTACCAAATCAGTGAATAGCAATTTTCACGCATTTTGATTGGCTCCCGTGACTCGGAATATCCTTGGCTATTCACTGTTTTGTGACCGGTGCCAAGATGGCGTCTCACTTCAAGGCATTTTTGGAAGACGAAATTTGAGCAATAAATGAAGCAGTCGTATAAACAAATTCAGGGGTTTGCTAATATTTCTTGTGAAAATTAGGGCTTTTGTCATTTAACCCATTCCCTCCTAGAGATTTTGCCGAAAAACGCGTTTTGAAGCTAGTCGAGTGGTTTTCTGGTCACTGTCGTGCTATAAAGAGCTAAAACTTACCACAAACTGGTTTACAGGTCGAACACTTCGCAGTCTTCCGATCCAGATGCAAAATATCAGCTTGCGAAGTTCGGGCATGCGCAGAAAGCAAAATTTCGACAGTTTTTGGGTTTAAAAGTGACACAGCAGTCTTGACTTTTACTTTTCGCTTTCTCTCCTCCCTTCTTTTTTTGCTTTTCTTGCCTCATTTTTTTTTTCTCTTGCTGGGCATTTAGTAGGCTTGATTTTGGTGGGAAGAGTTTTTAGGAAAGCTTTTAGGATCTTAGGATTAGGCGAAAGGAAAGGTAGGTGGGTAATGGGACAAGATTTTCATGGAGATTTTCAGGTCAATGTCACGTGGTTTTTTGCTTGTTTCTCCGGTGTCCTTGACTGAATTGTGCTCATTCTGGTATGGTTTGAAAGATCTCTTCACTCTGCACAAGTTAGTGAAGAAAGTTGTCCTTGACCGTTAAAACTGATGACGTCACAATGGGTAGAAAGGACCTGGATCCGCACGGGCGGTTACGGGCGGTTCAGGGGCGAATGGGTTAATCAAAAAACCTAAAAATGGCCTTTTACCAACTTTTTCACCTGATTTGACATGAAATAGACAGATTTGGTTGTTTTATGCTGAAAAGTGGATTTTTTTCAAAAAGCTTGGTCCTTTGCTTAACCCATTCGCTCCTAGAGATTTTGCCGAAAAACGCGTTTTGAAGCTAGTCGAGTGGTTTTCTGGTCACTGTCGTGCTATAAAGAGCTAAAACTTACCACAAACTGGTTTACAGGTCGAACACTTCGCGGTCTTCCGATCCAGATGCAAAATATCAGCTTGCGAAGTTCGGGCATGCGCAGAAAGCAAAATTTCGACATAGTTTTTGGGTTTAAAAGTGACACAGCAGTCTTGACTTTTACTTTTCGCTTTCTCTCCTCCCTTCTTTTTTTGCTTTTCTTGCCTCATTTTTTTTTTCTCTTGCTGGGCATTTAGTAGGCTTGATTTTGGTGGGAAGAGTTTTTAGGAAAGCTTTTAGGATCTTAGGATTAGGCGAAAGGAAAGGTAGGTGGGTAATGGGACAAGATTTTCATGGAGATTTTCAGGTCAATGTCACGTGGTTTTTTGCTTGTTTCTCCGGTGTCCTTGACTGAATTGTGCTCATTCTGGTATGGTTTGAAAGATCTCTTCACTCTGCACAAGTTAGTGAAGAAAGTTGTCCTGGACCGTTAAAACTGATGACGTCACAATGGGTAGAAAGGACCTGGATCCGCACAGGCGGTTACGGGCGGTTCAGGGGCGAATGGGTTAAACCTGAGTGGGATTGCCAAATTTGAATATGAAAGAAAAAATGAAACGAATTCTGGTCTTAGTAGTAAAAAGACCTCATCATACAAATGGCGTAGTCTAATGTTTGTTTGTTTTCCAAGTTAGATATCTTGTGTGACAATATTGGTCGTGGAATGCTATGGACCTTACTTTATCAGGTATGAATGAATAAATTTTTTAGGTAAAAGAAGAAGAAGTAAAAAAGCTGAACTCAAACTTAAGATGGTCTATTATTTTGTAGGTTGCATGAATACTGTGAGCCTAACCTTTTTTAGTTTTGAAGCCTACCTACATCATACCCCAGCTGTCTTTATTAAAGTAATGGTACATTCATACTGTATGGTTCTTTCTCGGCTACTTTGGATTTTTAGGTTAAGTTATGAAGTGGAAATGCATAGGGCAGCCTTTTTGCAATTAGGTTTCAATTCAGCTTTCTTACAGGCTAATAGTCAAACGTAATGGAGATGAAGATGATGATGATGATGTTGATGACGGTGATGATGATGACTGATGATGTTTATGACTGTGATAATGATGATGATGATGATGATGATGATGATGTTGATGATAGAAGTTGTCTTGATGGTAACAACAGTGGTAGTGAAATTAGTGTTGGTAGTGGGAAGCTGGTTATGCTGATGATAATGTTGCAGGTTATGCTGGTAGCATTGTGGTGATAATGGTTGATGATGGCACCCTTCATTCTTGTTGGCATTATTGTTTAAGCTCATCACCTAAGGAAGAAAGTAAAGATCACACTTTTTAAGGGAATGTAAGTGAAAATAGAAAATATTATTGGGTATCCTTGAAGAAATCGTCCTGAAATCAAGGTTTTTTTAGATCTGTCCAGGATTGTAAGTTAGTGAGATTTATGCTCCTTATGGCAGACATCAGATCAGTGTCCATTAGCCCTAATCCTCACCTACCTTATTATAGGAAATTAACGCTCCATGAAATTAATGCAAATCGTTAAAATTCGTGTTAATTTAAGTTGCCTTAATTTTGTTGAGCATTAATTTCCGCAACGTTAATTAAGTGCAGCGTTAATTTCTGCACTCTTAATTTCCAATATTTTAACCCCAATTTTGGAACCTGTCCAGACATTCTTAACACCTAAAACCTAAAAAAAATTAACTACAAGCTTTCTTTCTTTCCATTTACCCCTTATTTTTCATCTTTCACAAAAGCTAAGGCGAAGGTCTACAATATTTCGAGTTCATCTTCATCGTTGTCGCTGTCAGAAGTGATGTTCGCTCAGTTTTGTTCAGTTTTGAATTTTTTTGCATCCAGTGTTGAAGTAAATTTGTTCCAGTTGTCACCACCAACTGTCTTAATCGCGTTAACTTCCTTCATTATGAAATTCTACCTCCTCTTTCGCGTTAATTCTTTTTTATTCGAAAGTCGTTTGCCATTAAATTCGCGTTAATTTAAGTCCCATTAATATTATTTCCAATACCTTAATTTCATGGAGCGTTAATTTCCTATAATGAGGTAAATGCAAGCAATTCTACTGTCTTACATGAAGTCATATGGAAATTAGAATTTGTGTTTATTACAAAGGACCCAAGTTCAGACTTTTTTGCATTTCTGGACATAAGTGTTGGTTTGATAGGGAGATTTAAAATAATTTCTGTTGTTTCTGTCAAGTAAAGCATAATCATGGCAATCTTGTTTTGTCTCATTTATTTTTGTTACTGCACGACAGTGGGGCTACTTTATCAGTGCAGTAGAGTGGCTGGTATTTGTATGCACTCATACACTTGGAGCACAGTGGAAAAGTGCCAAGGCTAGTCCTCCCTCATGGGTGCAAACTGTCATGGCTAATGGTAAGTAAAAGGTATATATTATAAAGGATAATTTTTAAGCATTGCATGATATAACAGTGTTCTCTCTAAATTTTAGCTCAGCAGGTAAACGACCATTCATGGCTGTTGAGGGAAAAAATATGTGCCAGAGGCTCACTTTCCTGTGTGTGTGTGTGGGGGGGGGGGGGGGGGGGGGGGGGGGGGGTGATAGACCTGGCCCGGCCCTTGCTGGGAAATTTAGGGCCAAAAAAAGTTTTTGGAAATTTTTTTCCTTTTTTTTAAAACCTACTTCACAAAAATTGGCGTTTGTTTTTTTTGAAAAACAATTTAAAGTTTTTGTTTTCAATTTTTTTTTTGTTTTCTATGTCTTTTTTTTATATCTGGTGCCCCAAAAACTAAAAATTGTTATGTATTATATAGTATTAAATATGGGTTATGTTTTTAGAGGAAGTAAGCGGGTGGGGGAGGGGAGGGGGGAGGGGGGAGGGAAAGGGGGTGGGGGGGGGGGGGGGGGTGGGGGGGGGGGGGGGGGGGGGGGGGGGGGGGGGGGGGGGGTAGTGGAGTGATAGACCTGGCCCTGCCCTTGCTGGGAAATTTAGGAGCTAATAAAGTTCTCTGAAATGTCATTCCCTGATTTTAAGACCTACTTCACACAAATTGGCCGTTGTTATCTTTAGACAACAATTTAAAGTGTTTGATTGCAATTGTTTTACTGTCTTCAATGTCCTTTTTTCAAACTGCGTGGCCCACAAAAGTAAAGTTGTGTGTACTTTAGTACTTTTCCATATATTCATTTTTTTTCTTTGTGAGAATTGGATCAGATCACAACTTGAATATTTTTTAAAACTACTTATTTAATTGTAGTAAACCTTCAAGCGGTTGCAGCTGGTAAGAAGTGTTGCTTCAGTCACTAAATTTTACCGATTACTGCCTGATAAGGAGAACACTGCTATAAAATTTGCACTTGTTATGTATGGATGTAGTTGTCAAATAATTAATTTTTTGGCTGCTTAAAGAGTAGCTCTTACTGCCAACCAGATTCATAGCAAATGTAATAAGATGTAGCAAAGTAACATAAGTATCATAATGTTAATGGCAACATACTGGTAATCTTTTATGTTGTCAGTATCACAACTTTCATAGTTACAGACATGAAACTCGCCCCTTAGTTGTCATCTAATTAATTTTTCTTCTCAAAGAGTAGCACCCACGGCATGCCGTGCCTAGCAAAGGTAGAAGATGCAGTAAATTAACATAGACCTCTTTCATAATGGCAGCCTATTAATATATTCTCTTATATGTATGATAATTAGCCTTTCTGGTGTCGTTAGCATGTGCAAAAATAAATTATACAAATTAAAGAATTCTTACTTTCAAACGAGGTCAGAAAGGCTAATTATTGTATGTTTAAAGGAATATATTAATAGGCCGCCATTATGAAAGAGGTCTACAAGCATTGTATTAAATGTTAATGTGATCATTTTGCATTATCAGCAGCAACACTTTTACTTATTCACCACAGGCATGAAACTCTCCAATCCTTTCCAATAGTGCTTTTAGAACTTAAATTTGGATATAAAGAATTTGAAGGTATTTCAGTTGTAATAGTTACTTATGTTACACAAATCATTTTTAGGATTTAAGACTCCAATCGGGACCTTTGCCATCTGTGGACTGCATGGGCTCCCTGTGTGGTTGTATGGACTCAAGACCCATTTGTGGTCTCCTTTCATGTCACATCACGCACAACTGGGAGTTACTGGAGTTCTGATTTCTGGGCGAGCTCTTTGCATGGCTGTTGAAGTAAGTATGGGGTTGATTTATGTGTTGTCATAGCATCATATGTAACCATAAAAGGTAGGGCATAGGAGATGGGTTATATTTCTTACTTTTTTACAAGGTCTTATATCAAATACAAGCATTCTATTTCTTTAGTTGTTTTGTTTCCCCTTAGTATGATACAGAATTATTTGTCATACTTACAAACATTTCTGTTTTACAGGTCTGGTTTATTAAGAGCCATATAGAAGATTTACTAGCAGAACAAGAACAGAATCAGACACTGCCTCCTAATATAAATAATTGAATCAAATTCAATCGGCTGGCACTGGCTTGCCATAATCATATTGATGTAAACAACTTGCTGAAACTGACCAAACCATACATTTGGGCAATTCTAAAGGCCAGAGCTGACATTTCTATAGCATCTAGTGGGATTTTGCAGAAAAGTGTCATGGTGGATGATAGTAGTTATCTTGAAAATGTTACTCTTTTGGGCTCCCCATTACTTTGGTTTCCCTGAAATAATGATCACCATTTTTGTGCCAAGCAAGGGGGTCAGCTTAATTGTGTGATAATTCCTACCAGTGCCAACTGTGCCTATAACCCTAAAAAAAACTAGAACAATAAACTGAGGGGCAATAGAATGGCTGACAACTTATGTAACACAGTATAGTTATATAAGTTCTCTTACATAACTCACCGTGTAATTACTTAGAGATCAATCCAAACAATGTAAACACCCCAAGCAAAGGTTAATAACTGCCAAGTGTCCTACAATGTGACATCCGCTTTCTTTGATCTTAACTTCAAAAGTCCTTGTACCAGATCCTTAGCTTGTATATTCCTTGCGATTTGATTCGATTTCGATTAATGCCTTTCGATGTCGATTATTTCGATTTGATTATGTAAATGTTTCTTAATTCTTATAACATAACGCGTAATGTGAACAACATACAACCCCAAAACCTCAATTTGAGAATAGTAACAGGGACAGAAGGATTCACAGTCGCTTGGTCATTTATCGCCATGTTTGAGAACCTTACAAAGAGGGTGTCGAACACGGATTGCCTTATTTGGAAATTCTCAAGGGGTGGTTGAAGGACAGCATTTTTACCAGGCAACACAAAATGGTGCACGAACTGCTATCGTCTTTGCTTGTCAATCAAAACACGCGCATTTTAAAGAGTTCTAGATTCTGATTTTACAATGTAATAACTCACTGAGGGCACCCTGGAAAAGGTGTGCAAAATCGAACCAAAATCGAAACGTGGAAGCAAAGAATCCTGAATCGAACCGAACGGTCATAATCGCGATTAATGGAGAATTCGATTAATCGTTACACCACTATGGTTATTAGCTTGTTTGCTCAATAATGGTATGTGCAATTCCCCCACTACTTACCACCGGACCACAGGAGGGGGGCACTCCCTTATTTGGCCTTAATAGGTATGTACACGGGGTGCGGTTTGCAGGGTCTTGAGTGCCAGAGACTTTTCGTGCCAAAGATCTGTTGACCTTGACGGCCAACACTGAAGCATCCACCTTCATGCGAGGAAAAAACCTCTGATAACCAGGGTACCTTAAATGGGGTTTACAATTTCACTATTTAGCGTCTTAAACAGGGTGTCATTTTTAACCAAAAGTCTTTAAAAGAGTGTGGTGGTGTGGTCTACTGTTTTTATGTTATGGTACCAACAATAATATTGTTCACCAAAAAATCTAATTTCATGTTGTTAGTTGGAAAAATTACTTAATTCTGTATGCAAAACGGCATGAATCAGGGCAATAAGAAAAGGTCTCTTGTTTTACATGTGGTGTAAACAGGATAGCAAAATGAATGATTTTTACCTTAAACATAGTCTGGGTTTAAGGCCTTAGCGGCACTGACTTCTACCGAAACTTTCCTTGAGGGTCCCCCACCCCCCACCCCCAGACCACTATAGATAGTGGGGCGGATATATGCAGCACTTGCGTCGAATTGTGCCCTTTCTGGTTAATAATAATAATAATTTATTTATAAGTTGCAAAATAGTATTAAAATATGATCTAATGTGCATCACATTTGGTAAAAATGTTTCCTTTGTTACCTTGATTAATCTCTGATATCTGTAGCCATCGCGGATTTTGGGTGCTGACGCCAGTTATGGGGATTTTATTAAAACGGCAGCTATCTTGACCAGAAGTGAAAATGATAAATCGCCGGAAGTTGACTTTTTTTGCTTTTCATTAACTCTTTTAAAAGTTCAAAAATCTGTTCATTTATTCTTATTTACAAAGATTAAGACACTCATTTCTCCTGAACGGTAATTAGTTGGTCATTGTTATAAGACCTTGGGAAATGATCTAACTTTTCACTCTTTCAAACGGATTTGTCTCAACTTAATTTGCTTCCCCTTATACTCTTGGTACCAGATAGTCACATCAATATCGTAGTAATTTGTTAAAGTAATGTAGTGTGGTAATAAGTCATTAATTGCCAAGAGTAGTCTTTTTTATCTATTGTGTATTTGTTTGGGTCAGACTGTGTCACCGTTGTTGTGCCATTCTTTCCAGTGGCTTTTAGCCGAAAATTATTTTGTTACCTTCAAATGGCCATACAGATGTTTTTTTCTTTTTTAATACTAGTCATGAAGACAACTTTCACCTCTCCCTGTTTTAGCTTACTATTTGACAGATTCAATCCTGAATAACTGAGGTCTTATAGATTCTCTACGGGGAAATTGTCTTAAGTACCACTCTGTAAAATCCAACCAAATGTTGAGCAGGGAAGTAAGAGGTTCCAGCAGTAAAAGCAATAACCCACCCCACCTCACCAATGTGACATAGATTCAATTTGTGAATAACTGAGGTTTTTTTGAACCTTACAAACAAGACAAAACATAACTACTTGCTCTGTACGCTCTCTATGCAATGTGACATACAGTTCAGTGCTTAAAACGCAACTTGAGGTGTTCAGTGAGTGTGCACAGCTCAAAAAACAACCGGACTCAGGACATTTTTAAAATTCTTATTGTTTTGTTATCGAAAATGGTATTAAATTTCGCGCAATCTTTTTTTTTTGCGCGTATTAAATTAGTAAGAATAAGATGATTGCAAAACACTACGCGTTTCTCTTTCCCTTCCTCGTCACCCCCGCCCGCTTTCCTTATCCCTCTTTTTAGCCTCCCTGTGACAAAAAGAGCCCCATTCCCCATCTGGACGGTGTGGAATGCAGGGTTACTCTTCAAGCCCCAAAATATGTCCTACAACAGGGTCTGGAAGGGGATCCTGATCCCGCAATATTGCTTTTTTTTTTCACGACTTCGTTTCATCTCGAACTTCTGTTATCTCTATCCCCGATACCGTTTTCTTTCCCAATACCGCATCCTGTACCAAGATTTTGGCAAATCCCGCTTTCCGAAAAGGCAAAGAGGTCAAATCCCGAATCCCGTCAAGACATTTTGCGTCTTCCCGAATCCCGCACTGTAGATCCCAGAAAAGTGCGGCGTTTTAATCTAAATCTATTCAAAGTAGACAGACTGCAAATTATAGTAGTTGCTAAAAAATATATCTACGTGTCCCAACTGTTCATCAGTAGGATGCCTAAAATACTTGCAATTCCACAATTGGTTTCGGCTCCATTAAATCCTATACCAATTGCAGAACATTTTAGGAGGAGCCACCCACCGTGTGAGCCCTGGTGTGAGCACAGTCGCGGACAACACGTGTCTTATCTTGCACGTGGGTCCCATGGCCACTCAAGTAAATCATTGCGTTGTTCCATATGCGCAAAAACGCCAAATACCAATTACCAATTACCAAAGCAACCGTTTTTGATTAAGCTGTATATACCTCCTATTAGTTCATTCGGGTACGTTGTTAACCTCAGTCTTAACAATCTTCTTAAAAGAGTGCACTTCCGACCTGCAATGGAGTTCTTATCGATAAAAACGTGCAATGGAGTAAATTTTATTGTGTTAGTTTTAATGCTTTCACAATCCGAATTCCCAAATGAGCGTCCCTAGATTCATCTATCGAACCATCCATTGTTCCTGGTAATTTTGCTTTGTTTTCAACTAAGTTCCTACTTTCCTGTTGGGAATACAAAAGATAGTGAATCTTATCACAAAACTAAGTTTTTTGGTGAAACACAAACTAATTGCCAAGTCTTTTGAAATTGAAACAATAAATTAGGCGTACACTGCAAAAAATGGGGCGTCGTACGTGTAATATGGATTAACATATTTGATGATGATGATGATATACTTTATTTAGCTTTAGCTATATTTTTACTCTCGTCGTTTTGCCATTTCCGTCCGCAAATAGCAAGAGCTCATCTAACAGCTACAGCATGTACCGTAAGGGAACTTACTTAGCCTACAACAACAACGTCAAACAGGACGGACCCTGTAAGAAAATTTTGTGTTTATACACAGATAAAAGGTATGACTACATTGTTCGATTAAGTTCGGCATACTTGTGCGACCAGAATAATGTAATCTCGCTTCGACATGAACTACTTCAGTACTATGGTACCGGACGATTCGATTTGTTAAAAAGTGCCGAGATGTGTTCCAGGTACGTAAAAGAAGTTGGCATCGATTCTGTTCTGGCGCTTGAGGATGTCGCTGCTCCCATTTTATCTTCCCTTGTGGAAAAATATGGCTCATTCGCTTTCCGCGGCCCCTCATTTGAATCAGTGTTTCTGACTATCAACAAGTACTACACCCGAAAGCTTCTGGATCCCAACCCTGTGCCTTACTGCCATATCGATTTGAACAGTCATCTAGAAAGTGCCACCTTAGAAAACATGCTAAACGAGGTGGGTCTCCCTGCGATTCTAAAGCCGGCTTGTGGAACTGGGTCAGTATTAATACAGAAAATTAACAGTTTCGATGATTTGGTCCACGCAATCGAGAGTAGCAAGAAACACTACAGTTCCATAATAGGCAGCCATGCTCCTTTGTCCTCCAAATTCCTTGACTTGAGCAGGTATCCCTTGGCTTTGACCGATGGATTGATGATCCTCCTCTTTATACATCTACCTCTCTAGTATCTCGACCTACCCACTCATAAAATCACAAGGGAACTGTACAATGATGCTACAGTGTGTGGATGGAAACAGTTTTATCAGATGAAAAAAGTTAGGTTTAAGTCAGCGAGTCGTTTTGAAAAAATGTGTTTTCTCCCTAGAGGCCACTTCAAATTGTTCTCCTTTTCCTTAACCTAATTCTGACTCCACTAACACGATATATCTAATGTGACAACCTTATTTAGGATGCATCAGTCATTGTTATAAAATATAGAAAAGGAAAACTTGCAAAACAAAACGAAAACTATCAGAAGGACTGAACTGACGTAGAATGGCTTAAGTCTCGCGCCAAAACCATAAATTGCCCGATACTATCCCAGGAACACCAGCGCGCCTCTATACCGTGACGTCAGAATATTAATTTTTGACTAATTCCTTCCCATGTCTCTCTGTCGTCAGAAATTATATTTTGTTGAGAGAAACCTCTGAGGGCACTCCGTAAAAACCACCAACTTACATTTTTTCTAAGCGCTAAGACTTTAGATTTCGGAGTTAATAAGATCGGGTAAACACGCAACTCTTGTACAGCTGTGGATGATGAAGCCTACAACCTCCCACCTACCCCTCCCCTAACCCAACATTTGATCTACATTTGGTAGACTCTTGTGAACACGGGAAAGTTACGTTTCACATTATATCTGATTGTTTTGCCTTATCACCAGAAAATATTTGTAGCGCATAAGTCGTGCTTAATTCTTCTTTAAGTCCTGCTAGTCCCGTAAAGAAGATTTCTTTGATTTTGTTGATTTATCCGTTAGTTCTTAGTAGAATCCGTATTTATTTTGGTAATGGAATGATCGGAAAGTCAGCTATGTACGCACGCCATTTAGCTTTGCTTTTGCTTGTATTTATTTCAGTTTACGATATGATCTTGGATTATTCGTTGAATGATTCAAGTGATTGTCCGTAAAATATATCCCCGTTTGCATGTCTTCCGGAAGTGGACTTTTTGCATTCTTGGGCTTTGATTTTGAATCTTGGTCAGTTATACAAATTTGGTCGCGTCAATGGACATAAAAAGGAAAAAATGCCTACTTCAAGTTGACGTGCGTTGCTTAAAAAACGTCGCTGCTTAAACTCCCTTTTAACTTTAACTTTGCACTTTGGTCAAAATGCTGTGTTAGGGAAGAGGGATATATGTAGGTGTGCAATTTCCCAACATACAGATCCCTTTTTCTTTATAGATATGTGTTTAATGGAAAGGCATACCGCTGGGCACTATATGATTTGACAACATGGCCCACACATCCAAATGTCAATCAAATGCTGTTTCTTCCTTCCACGAAACCCACTCATATTCAAGAGAGAATCTGGGACATGTTTGAGACCGTAGCAAACAGGTACTAAGCTTCTTAACGTTTTGGATTCCGAGCAGCGTGTTGGTTTACAATCAACAACGGTTTCCGGTCGTTTCGATACAAAGTCGTTGCAAACGAGTTGTATTGAAACGACCGGTTTTCTCAACAACGTATCTAGCCCGTCTAGCTGGCGATTTTGTGTTGTGTGTTTTTCCATTTGTGGTTCGTAAAGTAGGACGGATACAGCCGCGCGAAGGCTGAACCGACGTAAATGAGACAATCTCTCACCCCTTGCCCCCTCTTCGCTACCCCCGTTACCTCGCGCGTTTTGGTTTGACACAGTCGTCTTGGGTAACTCTATTACTTAACCACTTTGATAAACAAAAAACACACCAAAAATGACAAGCGTCAGACCTCTTTAACTTGCATTCAAAGGGGAGACAGCAAATTGTTGTTGCTCGAAATATCATTATACATACTGATAACCGTCAGTAGCATAAAAGGTGTGCAATTGCACAATTGATGTTCTTAAGAGAATTTCCAATACGTACGAGAATAATACCAAGTAGCCAGCCGAACAGGGGTTGTTATATAATACATTTTTGTTTCCGCATTTTTCAGACGAGCAAAGGTATTAAAGCCTGAGGCAGGCGTGGAGCGTGAGACGCGCGCCTTTTCTCGTCGACCGTGTCTTGCACTCTGTTAAGCAGGCGCTTTCATTTGTTTGCCTGAAAAAAAGCAAAAAGTAGCGGCTGTTTTGCTGCGTAAGATACGAGATGTGTGTGGGGTGGGGGGGGGGGAGAGGGGGTGTCGCGAGGAGTCACGTGCGCGAGCAGCACCCAAAAAAAGAGGGGAGAGCGAGCAGAATTACTTTCCCTCGATCGCTTGGAGAGCAAGGGGCTAGGTTTTCTTTGTTGTTAGTCGCAAATTCAAAGCGCATTAATCTTACTGTTTAATCGTAGAGCTGCTGATTATGGATATGATAACCACTTCCTGAACATGCAGTTGTTCTTGTGCAAGAACGGAGATGTCAGGCTACTTGAGATTAACGGCAGAATGACTACAGTTTGTTCTCCCCTCTGCCAAAAGAGCCTCACTTCCGGTGACACAATTGAAGCGCAACTGCGCCTGGCACAAGGGGAAAAACCTCCTCCAGCAAAACTCACAGGCGTGCATTCAGCATATGTTTCTATCAGAAGCACTATTTCAGGCAAAGCAAATGAAATTATCGATTTTCAAGTTGCCGAGAGCATGGAAAACGTCAACCTTCATACTGGCCCCGATGAGTACATACAGCCCGTTGGCGACGGTGGAAAGAGTGTTGGAGGGGCTTATCTGTTTGCAGACAGCCGGGAAGAGATCTGGCAAAAACATCGTGATCTGTACAAACGGTTGTTTAAGAAACATCCTATTGGATGTAGCAATTAATTTTTGAATATGCTCTTTGCAATACAGAAAACTGAGCATCTCCATCAGGAACAATCCACCAGCAATCGTTAAAAAAATTTCTTAACATTGTAAGAACCTTTTCTCAGGGGTTATTCATGTAATCTTTTATTATATATTTTTTTTCTGGATTTTGTAAGTAAAATTTCAGGGTGTGCTCAAAATAAGTGTTTCAATTTCTCTTTTCATCTAGTTAATTAGATATTAATTAACTGAAATGTATATAATGGTGAAATGACTGAAGGTATATAATTTTGAGTATGTAATTCTTTTCCTTTTTCTTTCCTTTTGTTATTATTGTTGTTTAAAATTTGGTAATGAGTTCCTTGTCATTAGTGCAATAAATGTCTTAAATAATAATAATAATGAAAATCCTCTCTGTTTGTGGGTGTAGCTGCGTGATTTTCGCGGTACAGTTAAAAATTAGATACAATTGCAAGATTCAAAAATTGAATAGGCCAATAAAGATAAAACTTTTTAAATGACATATGTCGATGTGAGTCTTAACAACACAGATAAATACTTAAAGGCGAAACAACCGGTCAAACAATTTGTACCCCATCCCCAGGATCGGAACCTCGTCGTTAGTCGCAGTGAATTCTGGGACGAATCTCTGTGGGAGGATACTAACAGTTTCTTACACAGAGTAGTCATTGAAATTTATGAAAGATGGCGGTCGTCACTTTAGGACTTAAATTTCTCGTAGACTTTTTGGACAAATTTGGTCTCATTTACAAGAGGGAAGTCGGATCTTTCTTAAGCTATAAGCTCGATAAACATCAAATAATCCTTCCTCCGCCAACACCTCATGTTACGATAGATCCATCGCACATTGAAGGGAAAAGGGTACTTTTCATAGGAGATGTACATGGCTGTTTTGACGAGCTCAAAGAGCTGTATGACAAATGCACAGTGCCTGACCAGGAGACTGTTTTGGTTTTTGTGGGCGATCTTGTATTCAAGGGACCAAAAACAATAGAAGTCATCCGTTTTGCGCGAGAGACTGGCGCGTTTGCTGTGCGAGGAAATCATGAGCAATCAATTTTGGCAGAAATTCTCCATAAGCGGATGAATGAACCAGTGAGAGAAAAACGCAAGTTTGTTTTGGATCTGTCTCAGGGAGACGAGGAGTTTCTAGAGAATCTCCCGTATTCTATCAGCATTCCTTCATTGAATGTAATTGTCGTGCATGGAGGCTTGCTTCCTGGGGTGCCATTAGAGAATCAAGACCCCCTTGGTATCATGTTTATAAGGAATTACCAACCGGAGAAATTCAAAGGCACTTCAAAAATAGAGGATGGATATCCCTGGGCGTCCGTATGGAGTGGACCTCAGCATGTTGTATTTGGACATGATGCACGGCGAGGACTGCAGTTATATAAATTTGCTTCAGGCATTGATTCTGGATGTGTGTATGGAAATCATTTGACCGGTATCCTGGTTAAGGATGGGGTTTGGGACAACAGGGAATTAATCCAGGTCAAGGCAAAGCAAAAGTATACTCCAAAAGACTGCTGACTATCAAGATTGTGGTGGAGTTATTAGTAAGATTCTCTGACTCTTGATACAGGACGTTACAAATCAATCCAAATCGATCATCAAAAACGTAATCAAAAATTAATCGATAGTACTCGGTAATGCTTGATATTTGTCGATTGATTAGTAATAATCGATAATCTCAAATTTGGCTAGAGTCATTCTTTTTTTTTTCCATTCGAAGCTGAACTAATAAGCAGTACGTCTGTTGACTTATTGAGTGGTAGAACAGTGTTATTTTTTCCCACATGTATCCACTAGGACTAACAAAACTTCAAAGGCATTTTGTTATGGAGATGTTTATTGAGTTTAATATCAGTTACGAGTTGCTGTTTATAAGTTCGAGTGAGTGATGATGGACTAAACGCAACAGAAAAACAAATCAACCAACTCGGCTTCGCCCATTTTTATCTTTTCGATATTTTTCAATCAAAATCGATAAAATCGATCATTTAGTTACTGAAATCGATAAAATCGATAATCACAAAAACTCGACCGATCAATTTCCATCGATTTTCGATATTAATCAATAAACTATAGTTGATTTCGATCGATTACTATCTATTTTAATCGAGTATTGAAAATATCGATTTGTTACATCCTGCTTGATATCACAGGTGAAAAACATTAAATTTACTTACTCTTATACAGCACCAAAACAGCACTACCTTATACAGTTAACTGTCTCTAGGGTGGACTTCATTTGAATTGGGACCAATTATAAGGTTTTTGGCTTACAGAAAGTCATAGAAAATGACTAAAGAATGTCCTGGAGCAACTTTAAGTGTCCAGTTTTCAAGGTGTCTCTCTTATGCAGTTAGTCTATTAAGAGAAACGAAATGGTTAAAAATGTCTTAGTTTCAAGGCTATATGATATGTGGAAATCTTTAAAGTTTCAAAACATTTTGGGGGTCCTTGATGCTAATGTGATATTTACAAGCTCCCTTTCTAACATTTCCTTGATGTGTTGGGAAGAAGGGAGAAAATAAAAGCAGAACTTTATTGTGATATAGTGGTATTTATATATATATGTATTTATTTTATTTAGGAAGTATGGCACAGTAGAAATGAGAATCCATTTTCTAATGGGATAATAACAGTACTGAAAATCTTTGAATTAGCATCATCCCTCAAATCCGTTCTCCCCTAACCCCCTCAAATAAATGCCCCCCTTGTAGACCAACATTAAAGTAAGCAGTCCATCCCACTCAGTTTTTTCCATGAACAGTAAACTGCAGAGAAAATGGCATGAATTTAATTCGTGGCCAGGTGCACAACAAATCCCACTTTTAAAACTTCAAGAATAGTTTATACTTTCATACTGGTTACTGAGTACAATTTATGATGTAAAAATGTTATCCCTATCATAAAACCGATGACCTTTGTTATCTATCCATGATTTGGACCACCCACTTAACTAAGTGCAAAAGAAATTAGAGAAGACAAAGAAAAACTCTTACAGTCAAACAGGAAAACCGTGAACACGTGAAATATTTCTGGAAGGTTAATGTCTTGTAAGAGAAAAGTCAATCAGGCATGAGGCCTGCCCCTTCCCCCCTTAATATGTGCCCCTTTTCCCTCAACTTTGGTATTCAGAGAAAAAAGAGGTTCAGCATAACATTTGTGGTATTTATCACTTAACATTCTTTTATTTGTTGAAAATGTTTGTATATTACTCATGATTACTTTAAATTAAGCAAATAATAATTTACTATTCGTGCAATCAACATATAAATTACCATGTGATATATTTTGAATGTCTGTGGTAAAGGAACTTTATGCCTTTATTGACATTTTGCTCATTTGATAATAAAAATTTAATAATAATATTATAAATGACTATGTGGTTTCATATAGAATAGTGAAGAAGCGAGTCTCTTCAATTTAGTATTCCGCTATTATGCAAGGTTCAAAATAAGTGCAGTATCTATGTAGTAGACATTTCCTTTTTGCCACTAAAAAGAAAAACTGAATAATCTCCAGCTCTAATACTACCATACCTTAAGTTCCATTGATTTTTTACATGGCAAGTAAAAATGTAGACCATAAGTAGAGGTTTAGACATTAGAGTGAACAAATCTCTGAACTTTCTTTTTAAAGTATCAAAAAGAGATAATAGCATTGAGTTACTAAGCAATTTCATATTTTTCAGTGTATCAAAGTTTAATTTTTATTTGAGCTGCTATTATGTACTACATGTTTGTGTAAAATAATGTAAATTGCAATAATTATCCACTCATTGCAAGACAAAATAAATAAATGTACAAAGAGAATAGGTATTATCTTGATTTTGCACAGGAAGCCTAAACTCACTACGTATTAAGCACTTTGTAATACATCTAATAATATGAACCACATAACAATCTGTAGGGTTAAAATGGGAGTCTTGTGGCCTATACCTTATTGTGGAGTTTTCCTTGTCTTATTTGTACGAATACGTTAATAAACACAAGAACACAGAAACACTTGGGTTACTTAAAAACAAGACAGTACTTCATAATGATTTACATAATGGTTCGTGTCACCTGGTGAGTTTGGGATGCCTGTGGATTTTGTGAGCCAGATGAGGGTCTGGAGTCTACCTTGTTTACAAAGTTATTAGAGCACCAGGGGGCGGATCTAGCATTTTGATTGGAAGACGTTCACTTTCAAGTTTAAAGTTGTAATTCAGGTTAATTAAAGAAATAGGGGAGGAGAGAGGGGTGGGGACCCGGAAGAAGAGGAATAAATACCCGATATTTTACAATCAAGAAAAGGCCAAAAGGAGGAAGCCTAAAAAGGGGATGGGAGGCCCGAATACAAGGTACGGGAGGTAGGAGGTTTAGACTCCCTTCAAAGAACAGTTTTCCGGGGTAAGAGGAGGAATAAATAAGGGGTGGTGGGGAACCCAAGCCTGAAGAGCCCTCTCTCCCTAGATCCACTCCTGGTCACCTGGGCAATCAAAACAACCTTCAAGGGGTATTTTTTTAATTTTCAGAGAGCGGTGTTTATTTCATCTGCACTATCAGCACCTTTATTGACTATGCCTATTTCTCTTATCTCAGTATGCTTCTCATCGGATTGTTCAATCTTTGATTCATCGATGTGTGCAGGGTTAACAAGTTTTAGCTCGTCCGTGTGGTCACAATTAACCGTGTCTGGTTCATCGATGTGAGCAGGTTTAACAATTTCTGGTTCATCTGAATGGTCAAAATTAACCGTGTCTTGCTTATTCATGTAGTCACTCTTAACGGTACCTGGCTCATTCTCGTTGATAGGGTTTGAAGAGTCTTTAGGCTTCACCTTTCCCAGCTCATTTGTCTCTTGAAATTCTTCACTGTCTTTTGGTTTAACTCGGCGTAGACAACGCCCACAATGCGCGAACAGACGAGCAATGCTGAGCTGTCCAAAATCATTCTTTGGACCAATCACAGTACAGATGGCTAAGAAACTGAAGGTTGAATAAAGCCAGCTGAACACCATGACTAACATCAGGAACTGACCAAGCTGCAAGTACACTAAAACTGTTGTAGGCATCAGCATCAGTCCTGAAAAATAAGATTAAGTGGTGTTTAGTTGAAAGAAAATTCCTTGCCTTGTTACCCTGGCCTTGCATTGTCACGTTTGGTACTGCCTAAAAATATCTCATGTTAAGTTACCAACCAAACAAAAGAAATAAATGGACGCACTTGGCGATAGCCGACATGCATCGTTTGATTGTCAAAAAAATAAAGGTGTAAATTTTATTTGTTCACCAACTTAGAAACTTTAAAGAACAACCTCTTCCGCGGAACTATTCCATTAAAACATGGGAGGAGCCGGGAAAGGGGTCTCAGGGGCGGATACAGGATTTTTTTTAGGAGGGGGTGCACTCGTCTCTTGCTCTACTTCAACACCAATAAACCACATAGTTTTTGCAGAATACCAGTTGTATTAGAAAACCGCAGGTCATCTCAGGGGGGGGGGATGNAATCTTTGATTCATCGATGTGTGCAGGGTTAACAAGTTTTAGCTCGTCCGTGTGGTCACAATTAACCGTGTCTGGTTCATCGATGTGAGCAGGTTTAACAATTTCTGGTTCATCTGAATGGTCAAAATTAACCGTGTCTTGCTTATTCATGTAGTCACTCTTAACGGTACCTGGCTCATTCTCGTTGATAGGGTTTGAAGAGTCTTTAGGCTTCACCTTTCCCAGCTCATTTGTCTCTTGAAATTCTTCACTGTCTTTTGGTTTAACTCGGCGTAGACAACGCCCACAATGCGCGAACAGACGAGCAATGCTGAGCTGTCCAAAATCATTCTTTGGACCAATCACAGTACAGATGGCTAAGAAACTGAAGGTTGAATAAAGCCAGCTGAACACCATGACTAACATCAGGAACTGACCAAGCTGCAAGTACACTAAAACTGTTGTAGGCATCAGCATCAGTCCTGAAAAATAAGATTAAGTGGTGTTTAGTTGAAAGAAAATTCCTTGCCTTGTTACCCTGGCCTTGCATTGTCACGTTTGGTACTGCCTAAAAATATCTCATGTTAAGTTACCAACCAAACAAAAGAAATAAATGGACGCACTTGGCGATAGCCGACATGCATCGTTTGATTGTCAAAAAAATAAAGGTGTAAATTTTATTTGTTCACCAACTTAGAAACTTTAAAGAACAACCTCTTCCGCGGAACTATTCCATTAAAACATGGGAGGAGCCGGGAAAGGGGTCTCAGGGGCGGATACAGGATTTTTTTTAGGAGGGGGTGCACTCGTCTCTTGCTCTACTTCAACACCAATAAACCACATAGTTTTTGCAGAATACCAGTTGTATTAGAAAACCGCAGGTCATCTCAGGGGGGGGGGGGGGGGGGGCCCCCCCGCCCCCCCCCCCCTCACTCCGCCCCTGGGTCTTGACGGTTTCCGCATCCCCCATTTTCAAAGCGAAAAGCCTTGGGGCCGAGGTTGTCTAAAAAACACGTTTCCACGTGTTCGTGCGTCTGCGTTCCAGATCGCACTGTAATCAGGGAGGAGCGTTGGTTTTGGCATACCCTGCGGGTTAAGAACCTGGGTCGATCCTGGCCACCAATACCCCGACATTGCTCTCTTTGTAAACCTTGTCTCGGCAATTACTTTTATCTCCATTTTGCACTAGGAAATAACGTCTCAGTCCCAATAAACTAAAAGAGTCACATTGAGAATATTTGAGGAATGAATAGAGAAAATCATGAACTAAGGATTAAAACACTCACCTGTCAGAAACGTTGTAAATGCTGCCATTGTGATCGCTGATCCAATGTGAACCAGGGAATAACGTACCCTGCTTTCTCTTTGTTTTTTGTCTGGTGCCAGTCTGTAAGCCACACCATAATGCATGGTAAAGTCAATTGACAGTCCGACAGCTACTGACATGATAATTGACTCTAATATGTTAAGTTGCCAGTCAGCTAATACAAGAGAGCCAATGGTGGTCGCAATAATTCCAATAATTGTGAAGATGGCATAGATGCTGATAAAGATGTTGAGTGTTGTGAGCAACATGATGCTGAATGATGCGGCCACCGAGATACCCAGGGATGAATAGGTGCCACGCGAGAGACCAATTTGAAGACCATAATATCGGAATCCCCAACTACTCGCCCAGCCGTTTTTCAGACCAGGAGGGGCATTAGACAACTGACCTTCAAACCAAGTTGTCACTTCGTCGTAGACTTTGTCTATGACCGAAAAGGCTGTTGAAAAAGGTTGGTTGGTGGAAATGACCAGTCTGAAACCCTTAATTGCTTTGCTCTTAGAATCAAACAGTAAGCCTGATTCATAACCTCGCGATGCAAATTCAAGAAGACATCTCTCGGTGACATCAGCTGGAAATGGAAAGCTGTAGTTTCCGCAACATGGGTTTGGACCAGCCTTACATAAGGCAATTAAACCCTCAATCGGGCTGTCCACAGTGCCCGCAGCAAATGCACCAAAAAATGATTGCTTTTCAGCAGACTTACAGACCGAAAGAATGAACTTTTGTCCTTCTTCGGAAAAGAGGTCGGTACCGAATGATTCATCAAATTCCAACGTTCCTTTGTCATCTGGGTTAAAGAAGTTGCCGTTATCTACATGTTTAACTCCCCATATCAGCTCTACAACCATGCTTCCGCTCTGCTCGAACCTAAAGAAACTCTTATAGTTTAAATTGTAGTTTTCTAGCGTATGAGATGAGGCAAATGTTTGGAACTCATCACTTTCTGGCAACTGAAGTCCGGGTTTGTAAAAGGTAACGCATAAAAAGCCAGCGGTTAGACCGATGAGTAAGGCTATCCAAATCAAATAATAGTTGATGACGACAAATGGTAACCAACGACCAAAAAACTTGGAACTGAATGTTTGGACCGCACTTTTGGCTGAAACTGCGATGGAGCAAGGGAAATCAATCACTTGCAGAATGCAGGTGTTAGGGTGTTTTTTAATATCATCATCTGTCTTGCGGTTGCTCACCGCGTTTCTTTGCTCAATCATGTCTTGGGCTACTGGCATTGCAATGGCCACTTCCTCAACAGCCACTTCTGTTGATGGTTGAGATTCTGAGCTATGACCATCGTTGTACTTCATGATCCACTTCTCATGTAGGGCCACACAAGCCGGAAAATATGTTATCATTAGAAGGTAGTTTGTCAAGATGGATGTGCCAGCAAATATACCAAAACACTTAATGGCGGTGATTGTGGAAGATATCCCGGCGAAAAATGCTGATGAAGTAGTCAAACTTGTAACCAGCATAGAGAGAGCAGAATAGCGTAACGTTTTAAGTGTCAACTGCATTATGTTTGCGTCGGGGTTTGCAGCTCTTGACTGTCTCCATATGTCATAGTACACAAACGCATCGTCTGCTCCAATTCCCACCAAGAATACCAGAGTTAGAATATTAAGGAAAGGGAAAAAATCCATACGAAATACAAAGTTGTAGAGAAAAAAAGAAAGACCACCTGCGTAAATTACACACGACAGGCCACATAATGTAAGTATGAATGATCCAAGGAATGTCCACATCACGCCAAAGACAATGATCAACTGAGCCAGAGCTGGGAAGATGATCTGCACTAAAAGCTCTTCACTGAATTTCTTGTACTTGTATCCCCAAAACCTGAAGGTCACCAATTCTACTCCTTGACTTAGATGTGTGTCATCCTTTAGTCTATCGTACATCTCATCATAAAAGGCTTTCAGTTCATAAGCCACAGGAAGAATGGAGAGAGTGTATTTCAGAAAATCGTTGTCTGGTGTATTCATGAACTCGTTGTCTACAAGATACTGGAAAATATTGTACACTGCAGAGTGTTTGATGCATTGGGCAGGCACAGATGGGCAGTTGGAGCTCACAGTTTCATTTCTAGAGAAATCTGGGTACTTACAGTCAGGCTTCAGAGTCTCCTTCAGAAAATAAGTCGAACAGTTCCTCATCAAGATTTTCACCTTCGAGACATCATCATCTGTTATCATCTGACACGAGGTACGGTTGTTTAGTAACGCGACGTAATTTCCAAGGTTCCAGCTGGAATAACACTGTGTTGTAGACCCATCGTTAAATTTATAACAGTATGTCGTAAATGATGGGCTTGATTGCACAATTTTATTGTCCATGGTACAGATGATTCTTATTTTCGGTGCATCAAACAAGTTCTCTTTTGGATCTAAAGCTTTAAAGACAAACACCATAGACTCAAACGACATCATAGAAAGGCGGTTGAAGCGAGCCCTGTAGTTGCTGCACTGAGCGTCGTTTGCGCTTTGTTTGTGCTTGACCCGTTTCACTTCCACCTTGTGTAGACAATGACGTCCGCAAGGGCGATAAGATGTTTAGAGCTTTAACAAAATTCTCATAAGTTGAAATCTCGTTACTCAGTTCTGTACCTCTGGGTTCAAATCCCTAGAAGAACATAAAGCCACATTATTAAAAACACATTGCGTACTAAGAAAAGTTTAAAAGATGCCTTATTTCGATCAAGTGCGAGGCTGGGTAATTTGCTTATAGCTACACCGACGGACAGGCGCAAAGAGAAAGAGAAAGGGAGGAGAAGGTCCCTTCCTGCACGCGTGCAACAAAGAAAATCGGAGACAAAACTTACACTGGCAATACCTCAAAGTTTGGTAGTGTGTGCTTCCTTGCTGTTTTAACTTGAAATAGGAACTGTCATTCTCCTTCCCACAACCACTCAGCCTTATTTGTAACGAAGACCTCGTGACTTCAAAAACGTTTTTGTTTAAGGCCCCTTATATCTTATTCTCACCACAGTTTAATGCCGGTAACCTAATAATGGCTTAATTACTAGTAATAACAAAAGCTAAGGGAACGTCGTCGAGATCGATCGAAGGACTAAACGCTCTTGCCCGAAAGGCAGACACTTTGCTTTGCGAACGTTTCACCTGATAGAATAGCGTAACGAGCTTGGTCAGATTGCGTTCTATGCATTCCATTCATTCTGACGAATGCTACCTGTACACAGGACGCACATGCGTAATAGCAATTTGGAGATTAGGATTGGAGGCCCCTCTGGTCTAATGCAAATTTACTTACTTTAGTGGGATCTTGAAAGTCATGTAATAGAGGTGCTCCCAATGCCGGTAGAACAGACACCATTGTAAGGACTATACAAGTCACTGGAATTAATGTTGCCAGGCACAGAGCGATAAAATCATGTCTGGTAAACCTAATTGGAAAATAAAATTCTTTAATATTGGAATAATAGATCATAATACGCCGAGCTGCTGGGAGAACTGATTTTGTGCGTTAGGGGTTCCCCGCCTTGTCTCGCCAAGAAAAGATCTTGTTTTGGCCATGAACAATACTTTACTGACAAAGTTTTTTCGTCCACATGGCTGAATATTGACCTCGTTTTGTTTTTGCGTTTTGAAAACACTCAAAAAGAGAACTTGGCCAACATGGATCTATCTTGCCCGCACGCTCAGTTAATAACGTATTGGAAGAGAGCATGTTACATGACAACTTTCACAAGGGTCTTAAGTCTACGACTTGAAATTGCAGTGCGGTATAATATACTCACTCTTTTAAACATCTTTCCGTTGTTGTTCATTATGTAGATCTTCTATTTAAGGGCCATAAGGCCCGGAACAAACGTCCAATTTCACAGGTGACGAACCTAACCTAACGGCCCATGAGCAAAATATATTGTTCTCCGATCGTTTATTAGCATTGGGTGGGGTCTTAAGTTTGCCAGAAGTTTGACGTTTGACCTTGGACAAAGGGCGTTTTCCATTTGTCAGAACTGGCCGGGAGGGCCAATGCCCGACCAGACAGTTTGAAAATGAAATAGGCTTTTGCGAAGAGTTTTCGCTGAAAAACCATATCCTTCGTGCATAATATTTAGGATTTGACTGATCTGACTGAAGAGTTTTGATTGAAAGGGAAATTATCGTGCCAACGGGAATGGTCTGGCCGGTCAGTTCTGACAAATGGAAAGCGCCCTTAATAGAGAGCGCAATACATTATTTGCCTTAACACTGGTGCATATATATATCAGTCGCTAGAGTTAATTTTACGCCTTACTGCACACTCAAAAAGGACCAAAAAAGAAATATTAAATAGTCATGCAAATAACGTTTCGATTTTTGATAATCCTGAAAACACTTTCGCAGATAAGTATATTACTTTAGTTCTGACATAAGTTGAGTTGTAATGACACCTCTCAGGGAAAACCAACCTGAGGGGAACCAACCGTCTTCTTTCCACGCGCAAAGCGCAAAGTACAATCAAACCCCGCCTTACGGACAACCGCTAATACGGACACCTCATTATTAAGAACATTTTGCTTTGTCCCTGGGGAAAGAAAGCCCTTAGACTTTCTCTTAATTCGACTTGCTTAATACGGATACGGACACTTTCTATGGCCGCCTCAGTGTCCGTATTAACGGGGTTTGACTAAAGCCTGCAGAAGAGGTGCACTTTTTTCGCGTTTTTGGGGGAACAAACCACGAAGCGGGTGTGCAATGCGGGACACGCGCCTCTGCGCCTTTCCTCTTCGCTCGCCTTAAAAACGAAAAAAACAAGGTGTGTTCTTCAGGCTATGCACAAAGAAACAGAGCGTAGAGCTCCCACATAATATTCCGAAAGCTTTTTCAACTCTGATCATTGTCCTTATTCTTATGTCAGCATCACTGACTGAGAAACTGCCAATTTCCAACAAAAGGTAAAAGAATTTTCTTGTATTCTTTAAGAATAAAAAGACCCAAGAACTACATCAATTGGACTACTGTATGTTAATGTGACTCATAGTCTGCCTTTCGTATAATTGCGTGCTTTCTCTCTTTTGACTTTAATTGGTGCATTGTTCTTCAATATCTATTGTACTTCAACCCCTTATATTGCTCAACCTTTTACACTTTCATTGTTTTTACAGTATTTGTATTCTGCGGTTGTTGCTTATAATTACATTGTCACTTCAAACTGATGATGAAAGAGGAAGTCTTTGGCTTGAGCCAACTAACATAAAATATTACACGTTTTGTCAACTTCCCATGTTTAGAAATATTAGTCATTCGTTCTCCTTTTAAGACTCATTTGCCGGCAACGCTTTTGAAAGCTAAATACGCTTCATAAACTTTTCGGATCTTTAAACTGACTATTTTGAGGGTAGAAGACTCAGAAACTCTTTGTTAGAGAACAATCTTACGCCCAAAATTTACCGATTGCTTTTTCCTTTAAACTTGAACTGAACCAAAACGACATTTTCCAAAAAATAGGTTCTCATTTCCCGATGTTACAAATTATAGTTAAAGAAAACTGATCGTTCATTTTATTCCAATAACTACGAACTTTAAGCAGGTTTTGGGGTCGGTTTTGATCACAACAAAACCGCTCTCTGAAACCGTGAATTACTGCTCCGCAAAGAAAGGCAGATCAATCGTTCAGCAGTTCTCATAGACATAGTACCTTTGCATGCATTTATTTCTGAGAGCTTACATTCTGCTCTTAACAGCTCAGATTAGCTCCGAAGCCGTACCTGTATACTGATTTTTAAACACAAATAACCTGTTTTTTCGTTGTTTAAATTCGTCATGTTGGCTCTGAAAAGCTACAGTTGGGAGCACCCAACAAGAATATAGTTCAAAAACACTTAAACATAGCATTGTTAAACGTATTTTAGTATTTAAACGGTAGATATAGGCATATTTTTATCCCCTAAAAATTTTTCATCTGTTCGGTTTGGAAAATTTCAGCTAGAAAAAAGGTTTCCCAAAATTCTAGGTGACCTTTTAAGGGTAAAAATTGGTTAAAAATAAGCAATTATATTACTTTTTAAACCCCATTTACACGTGCTAAAAAATCAGCACGCGGGGGGACGTACGGCGCGTCAAATTGTTGGCACCGTGCCTCGTTTACCCGTGCCGACCTCCGGGAGGTAGTCTCGGCATCCCTAAAATTTTGAGCACTGGTGCCACATTACATTTGGTACCGATACGTTTACTCGTCGAAAATTGGGAGTGCCGTGCCTTAAAATCGTCAGCACGGTGCCAAAAGTTTGGCGTGCCGTGCCAATTTTTTTAGCGCGTGCATGTAAATGGCGTTTTAGATGTTCGAAAATCCTAGGAGAGGCAGGCAAGCAAGAAATGGTACAATGTTTCGAAAATTCTTGACCTCAATTCGTCTTCCGAACAGATATTTTCTGAAAATTGACGTTGAATGCCCCCGTACAGTTGCATCGTGTAGCATGCAGTTATTTTGTGCTTCAATCCACAATGTTATGGCCAAAACAGTTCTTGCCTGATTGCTACTGTTTTTTTGAAATTTCTAGCGTAGATATATGACCATAATCCTACCTCAAATTTGGCGTGCAACTTGTCCTCACATGATTTGCCGCGCTCGTTATTGTGTTGCTACTTGGGCAGCTGCTTGGGGTTTTCAGTCTCTTGACAACAACATTGGTGCGTTGGATCATGAGGCAAAATTTAAGGCAGCACCTGATGAAGACGTCATGTATTCGTCCTTTCGTCATAGATTGCATAGTACGTTGTTAACCTCAGTCTTAACAATCTTATAAAGAAGTCTTTCTTAAAAGTTTACACTTCCGACCTGCAATGAAGTTCTTATCGATAAAAACGTGCAATGGAGTAAATTTTATTGCGTTAGTTTTAATGCTTTCACAATCCGAATTCCCAAATGAGCGTCCCTAGATTCATCTATGGAATCATCCATTGTTCCTGGTAATTTTGTTTTGTTTTCAACTAAGCTCTTACTTTCCTGTTGGGAATACAAATTTTAACTTTTCAGCATCCTCGAATGGTGGAGCTATAGGTCGTTTTGTACTTTTTCTCAAAGCGCCTTCTATTTTGTCTAACTAAAGATAGTATATCATATAACAACATTGAGTTTTTTGGTGAAACACAAACTAGTTGCCAAGTCTTTTGATATTGAAACAATAAATTAGGCGTACACTGCAAAAAAAGAGGTGTCGTGTGTGTTTAATGGATTAACATATTTGATGATGATGATATACTATATTTAGCTTTAGCTATATTTTTACACTCATCGTTTTGCCATCTCCGTCCGCAAATAGCAAGAGCTCATCTAACAGCTACAGCATGTACCGTAAGGGAACTTACTTAGCCTACAACAACAACATCAAACAGGACGGACCCAGTCAGAAAATTTTGTGTTTATACACAGATAAAAGGTATGACTACATTGTTCGATTAAGCTCCGCCTACTTGTGTGACCAGAATAATGTAATCTCGCTTCGACACGAACTACTTTCAGTACTATGGTACCGGACGATTCGATTTGTTAAAAAGTGCCGAGATGTGTTCCAGGTACGTAAAAGCAGTTGGCATCGATTCTGTTCTGGCGCTTGAAGATGTCGCTGCTCCCATTTTATCTTCGCTTGTGGAAAAATATGGCTCGTTCGCTTTACGCGACCCCCCCCCCCCCCCCCCCCCCCCCTTTTAAAAAAAAACCCCAACAACCCCCAACCTTATTCAACCCCCCCCCCCCACTACCCATCCATAAATTTATTAAAAGTACACAAATAAAAAACAAATCAAAAAACAAAAAAAAGAGGGGGTGTGCAGCCGTTTCAACACTCCGAAGTGGGTCTGGAGTGGGTTCTACTAAACAAAACATAAAGTTANGTAGCAAGAAACACTACAGTTGCGTAATAAGCAGCCATGCTCCTTTGTCCTCCAAATTCCTTGACTTGAGCAGGTATCCCTTGGCTTTGACCGATGGATTGATGATCCTGGAGAAATATGTAGATGGAGAGATCATAGAGCTGGATGGGTGAGTATTTTAGACAAGGGAACTGTACAATGATGCTACAGTGTGTGGATGGAAACAGTTTTATCAGATGAAAAAAGTTAGGTTTAAGTCAGTGAGCCGTTTCAAAAAAATGTGTTTTCTCCGTAGAGGCCACTTCAAATTGTTCTCCTTTTCCTTAACCCAATTCTGACTCCACTAACACGAGATATCCAATGTGACAACCTTTATTTAGGATGCATCAGTCATTGTTATAAAATATAGAAAAGGGAAACTTGCAAAACAAAACGAAAACTATCAGAAGGACTGAGCTGACGTAGAAGAGGGTCTTAATGGGGTTAACCGATAGGCGTATAACGGCCAAAAATTTAGTCGATAGCCGTAAAAATTGAAACATTTCAACCGTTAGCCGTAAATAGGGTAAAAAAGAGTTAATCGTAGAAGAAATTGTTCCCTAGATTTGTTAATTTTAAGGAAGGTGCTTAACTCACTCATGGTTGCGTTATTTATTTCCCGGCTATTTTGACTCCGTACGCACGTTAGGCCAAGCGCCGTTTAGTTGTGACCTAGACCTAGACTCCATTTCCGCCGCTCTCTCGGGGAACTAATTTTTTCTATAGCGAAAATCTGGCTTCTTGCTGGGGATTAAAATTTGCGATTTTCAGCAGGTCGTGCCCTCGAAATACTAGGGAAACAACACCTAGAGATGTCACTGTTTGTAAAACACGTTGCCGATAAACAACAATTCCCTGTTTTTCTCTGACGCTAAGTTCTGTTTGGCGTTTTCCCACGCAATCTCGGTGAAGGCATTTCGGTGGCGTATCTGAGAAAAAAACTCGCTCGGACAACGTGACCCGACACGCTTTAGCTGCGCGGAATAATGAGGCCTATGGACAAAGCAGCGGCAGACAGTCTTTCAGTACATTTCTTCGCTATCATTAAAAACACTAGACACTGACGGGAATTGTGTTATTGGCCTTTTTTAAACTAGAGCTAGAGATGGATTATCCGTCTGAGACTGGCATGGCTTGTGCACAGTCGCCCCCTCCCCCACAGACACCTCTTCTCCGATTTTTTCTGAAGGGGGAAGGGGGCGGCTGTACACAGGCTATCTGAAACGAACAATCCATCTTCAAACTGTCCGTCAAAATTGACGGATAGAGTCAGGCGGATTGTTCATTCAAAATTAAGACGTATTACCTATCTGACGCAAATTATCAAACGGATAACCCATCTCGCACACGAATTTCCGTCTCTAGTGTGAAAACGGCCATTTCTGTTATGATGAATGTCCTTCCCCCCTGCCTTGAGTTAGGCGTTCGCGTGTCTGCTTTTGCTTTTTCACAAATATTATTTTTAAATTGACTATTGACATTTCTATGCGTAAACTAATATTAAAAATGGAATACTTTATAAATCGGTATGATGTATCAAATGTCAAAAATTTTCAAGAGAAAAACTTCATTTTATCCCGAGATGATCCTAAGACCTTTATTTTGCTTTGAAGATACAAAAAATACAGGTTTATTAATAAAAAAAGAAAAAAAGAAATCAATTTTTAACTTTTTAGTTAACCGTAACTGAAAAAAATTAACCGATAGCCGTAAAAGAGCCAAAATTTTAGTCTTGTAAGAGGAAAGTCAATCAGGCATGAGGCCTGCCCCTACCCCCCCCCCCTTAATATGTGCCCCTCTTCCCTCAACTTTGATATTTAGCGAAAAAAGAGGTTCAGCATAACATTTGTGGCATTTAACACTTAACATTCTTTTATTTGTTGAAAATGTTGGTATATTACTTATGATTATTTTAAAATAAGCAAATAATAATTTACTATTCATGCAATCAACATATAAATGACCATGTGACACATTTTGAATGTCTGTGGCAAAGGAACTATTTACAAAATTGATTGTGCCTTTATTGACATTTTGCTTTTTTGATAATAAAAACTTAATGATAATATTATAAATGACTATGTGGTTTTATATGGGGTAGTGAAGAAGCGAGCTTCTTCAATTTAGTCCTGCATTATTATGCAAAGTTCAAAATAAGTGCAGTATTTATGTAGTAGGCATTTTGTTTTTGCCACTAAATTGCCCCTGCTAATAAGGAAAACTGAATAATCTCCAGCTCTAATACTACCAAACCTTAATTCCACTGATTTTTGACACGGCAAGTAAACATGTCGACCATAAGTAGACGTTTAGACATAAGTGTGAATAAATCTCTGAACTTCTCTTTTTGAAGTATCAAAAAAGAGATAATGGTATGAATTTCTAAGCAATTTCATATTTTTCAGCGTATCAAATCTTAATTTTTATTTGAGCTGCTATTATGTACTACATGTTTGTGTAAAATAATGTAAATTGCAATAATTATCTACTCATTGCAAGACAAAATAAATAAATGTACAAAGAGAATAGGTATTATCTTGATTTTGCACAGGAAGCCTAAACTCACTACGTGAGCACTTGGTAATACATCTAATAATATGAACAACATAACAATCTGTAGGGTTAAAATGGGAGTCTTGCGGCCTATACCTTATTGTGGAGAAAAGGAACAGAATAAACATGCTTATGCAATTATTTGTGTTCTTGTGTCTTTGTGAACCCAATGAATTTTTGTTCTGTCATGAAGTATTACTAAATGTATTACCAAGCACTCACCTGGTGAGTTTGGGATGGCTGTGGATTTTGTGAGCCAGATGAGGGTCTGGAGTCTACCTTGTTTACAAAGTTATTACGGCACCAGCGGGCGGATCTAGCATTTTGATAGGAGGACGTTCACCTTCAAGTTTATAGTTGTAATTCAGGTTAATTAAAGAAATAGGGGAGGAGAGAAGGGTGGGGGCCCGGGAGAAGAGGAGGTGGGCTCCTGGTGGGATAAGTATGGGAGACGGGAGAGGAAAGAGCGGAAGGTGGGAGTTCTAAAAAGGTGGGAGCTGGGAGAAAAAGGGGGAAGATTACATAACAATGCTAAATATTTTACAATCAAGAAAAGGCTAAAGGGAAGAAGCCTAAAAATGGGATGGGAGTCCGGAATACAAAGTACGGGAGGTAGGAGGTTT